GAATCCTTTCAAAGAAAAGACAAATGTAATGCAGAACACAAGCAGGGATGGCTGGAACATTGCAATAACTCTCCCAGTGGTCAATTTCACTGAGTTCTTTGGCACAGTTGCTTGTATCAAGTACAGAGGCATGTGACTCAAGCTAGAGCCCATTTTTTTTCCTTTAGAATTTATGAAATAGTACAACAACCACCAGAGGCAAAAGACAATGAAAGCTGAGTTCATAATGGCAGTGCCCTCGTAAGTGGCTGCTTATGACCTCCCCAAGAATAGTCCTGGGCACTTTCTTTCTGGAGTTTCATTTGTATTGACAAGAATCCATCATGTAATTTCTCTGAACATATGAAAAGTCACCAAATTATGTAGGAACAAAACAAGTTGCAGGTCAATAAGTTCAATATTACCTCTTTTGTACAAAAATAAAAATGCTCAAAATTCATGCTTGAAACAACAACAAGGGATTGGCATTTTGGCATAGTAAGCTAAGCCTCCATTTATGACACTAGCATCCCATATAGGCACTGGTTGGAGACCCGGCTGTTCCAGTTACGATCCATCTCCCTGCTCCCTGCTAATGTGCCTGGGAAAGTGTCAGAAGAAGGCCCAAATGCTTGGGACCCTGTACCTACACAGAAAGCCTGGAAGGAGCTCCTGGCTCCTGGCTTTGGCTTGTCCCAGCCACAGCCATTGTGGTCATTCGGGGAGTGAACCAGTTGGTGGAAGATCTGTTTCCTCTCCTCTCTCTGTAACTCTGCCTTTCAAATAAACAAAATACAAGTCTTTTTTAAAAAGCGTATCTGACTCCAGGAATATGTTGGCTTCTCATGGTGGAAGATGCCTTCTGGCATTCATGACTAAAAGGTAGCTGCTCTTCTGCTTGGTGTTGCTCTTCTTTTTTTAAGATTTATTTATTTATTTGAAAGTCAGGGTTACAAAGAGAGATGAGAGGGAGAGAGAGAGAGAGAGAGAGAGAGAGAGAGCTTCCATGTGCTGGTTCAACGGCCGGAGCTGTGCCGATCCGAAGCTAGGAGCCAGGAGCTTCTTCCAGATCTCCCATCTGGGTACAGGGGCCGAAGGACTTGGGCCATCTTCTACTGCTTTCCCAGGCCATAGCAGAGAGCTAGATTAGAAGTGGAGTAGCCGGGTCTCAAACCAGTGTCCATATGGGATGCCAGCGCTTCAGGCCAGGGCGTTAACCTGCTGTGCCACAGCACTGGCCCTGAGTGGCTCTTCTATACAGTATGCAACTTGACTGTAAATGTTACAGAAACACTTGAAAACCATGGACAGACACCAGTGAAGGGTGACATTCAAGTGAGGATGGGTGTGTTTTCAGTGAACATTTATCAGTTTGATTTCCAGCAGGTAGGAAATCAAAATGCATTGTTGGAATAAACAGGCTGATCCTCATGAGACTAGCAGTCATAGAACCATAGCTAAAGGAAATCAGCCAGGGAATGATCATTGTTCAATTTGACCGATGTAACACAGGTAGAAAGGAAAATCAGAATAGAGATAACTCAGTTATAAGTAGGAGGATACATTCAGTGAGAGAAAAGAGAAGAACAAGTGGCAGGGACAACTGTCAGCAGATCCTGACAAGGTACTGAGAATCAGGCTGAGTGGGAATGGGTACTGGAAGAACACCTCCATGTGAAAACACTCCTAGAGGACTGTAAGTACAAAGTTCATTAGATTTTGTGACTGAACCTGACCTACTCAGACTACCAATTCCCTTGTTGCTCTCGCCCATGAAGCTGAGTTCATGGAGCAGAGGAACTTTGTGTTCATATCCAACTGCTCAGCACTTGGTAGAGTACTAGCATGAGGGACACCATGCAGGTTTGCTGAAAATACATTTAATGAATTAGTGAATGAACATCATATTTTAATCTAGATAGCTGTGGAAGAAAATGGCAGAAGCAAATACATCAAAATTAAGGTGTTTCTAAAAATGCAAATAGAATGCCTTCAGATAACATTCTTTCTCAGATTGCAGATAATTGCCATATTCTTTTCAGTAACTTTCAGACATTAAACTGATGCTGGAAATAAGAGTGAAAAAGGAAATTCATCTTGCTGTAGCAAACAGAAATGTGCATTTTCTTTTGCCGAATCCTTGTGCTTCAGGAGAATATTGTCTTTATACTCTTCCTGCATATTTATGATTATCTAGTGCAGTGTTAATCGTTAATCAGAGTAGAGATCAATCACAACGAACTTATCAAAGAAACAGGGTCCTTTTGCCTTCATATCAAATGAAATATTTGTACTACTTAATTGAACACTGGGAAATGCACTTTTGTAAAAACTGCCTGTTCATGGTGTGGCCATATCTTAAAATGTTCTCATGTCTACAAAGAACATGTAATTTAAAAATATCAAGTTCGCCTTTGAAACCTCAGAATAAAAATTAAAATCAGTGGTAAATCAGAAACTAGTATAAATCTAATTGCACAAATGGTTTTCCAGGATCAAAACATGAGCCTAATCTCTCACAGAGGTCCCAAAGTCCTACTATGCATAACAGTGAGTTTCATGTCCTTCTTCAATAGCAAACAACAACAAATAATTACAAGACCATTTGGGGTTCAATTTTAATAAGTTTCTCTATTGTTAGTGAAAGATAATAAAAAGAAATGTCAAAGGGATTACCACATATGACCAAGCCTTTCTTTCTTAAGAAAAAAAAAAAACATAAAGCAATAAAAGAAACCTCCTTAAAGCTTAGTTTCAATGTTTCAAGATCTCATCTTTTTTACTCTTTGATATTTTGATGTTCAGAAAGGATAAATCTCATCGATATTGTTGCAGAACTTTACAGCCAACATAGCCAGAAAATTGACTGCAAAGTGAGCTAGAAATTGCATACACTCTAGATACCAATTCTACTACTACCTTTGGCCTCAGTCAACTCAACAGCAAAAGGGAATAAATGATGCCTATCTCATTGAGCTGATGTGAGATGTAAATGGGATATCATACAGTATTCCTGGCATCAGGTAAGAGTAAAATTTACCTGTTTTGGAGGCCTACTCATTTTTTTTTTTCAATGCATGAAGATTTGGAATAGAAAGTGACAGCATACAAAGGAGAGGGAAGACAAAAGCTGTGCATTACAAAACAGGAGAAAACTCAAGCACTGGAGGTCAATGCCAACTGAGGATGAAAACCTGCCTTGACTTCTGATGGTATCACTATTGCGTGGGGTCAGCCATCTCTCACATCTTCCTTGGAACTTGGCCATTCAGAAAATGATCACAGCCCTTATATTTATACTTTGATGGGTCTGATAAAGCCTTTGCTAAATCATCACCCTTGCTTGTTCCACTGTCTCCACAGAGAAATCCCTAATGAGGATATTAACTGGAATAATTTATGAAAATAGCTTTTCATTCATTTCCTTTTGCACTGAATTCAGAGAATGTGTGTTTTACATATATTGTCTCAGACAAAATCCATTTGATAAATATTTTCAATGACTGAAAATATTTGAGGCTGAAAATATTTTCTATTTGTCATTACTATTCACATCCCCATATTTAGCTGCCGTTTGTGTGCCTTTAAGATTTGGATCTAAGTTTTTTCAAACACATAGAAAAGGTATGGTCTAAATAAACACATATGGTAAGAGTATCTATTAATCTCCTCATCGTGACCAGAAATTGGGGGAAAAAAGAAAGAAAATGAATGAAAAGAGAGAAAGGAATTTCCTTATGTTCTTGCCCAGAGGAACACTAATGGGTTATGAACCCTTTCAGAGGCGTAGAGCAGAGAGAAAAGTGGTTGCCTTGGTAACCAAGCAGACCAGTCAGCTGTGTACACTTTCCCAAGAGCATCTAATTTATTCAGCAAATGCAGGCTAGAACAGGTGGCTAACCTAGATGATGCCGAGAAGCTCTAGCTCTCAAACATCAATTCTCTCCACATTTTGTTTCATTCTGGTCCCTTTTAAATGGCGAGCGAACAAGGTGCATTTCTTTGTGGCTCATAACACTAGCAGATAGGAGAGCTGTCTGTATTTGTCTCATTTTAATTTTCTGGCAAAGAAATGAGGCAATGTGATTTCAAGAAATGATTGATACAGGCAACTTAATTAACAGTAACTTTGACAGTGTAGATAGATAATGGGAACCTCTCTAATAAAATTCCACTGTTTGTCTTTTATTTATTTCATTTATCTGAAAGGGGGGGGGGTGAGAGAGAGAGAGAGAGAGAGGTAAAAAAAAAAAATCCTCTGTTTCACTCCCCAAATACTCATAACAGTTCTTGGCTGAGGACTGAAACTAGGAGCTGTGAACCCTATCCAGGCCTTCCATGTGGATGGCATGACTCTAACTACTTGAGTCAAGACTGCTTCCTGCCAGGCTCTGTATTGGAAGGAAGCTGGAGTCAGGACAGAACCCAGAGTTGAACCCAGGTACTCTGAATATGGAATGCAGACGACTTAACCACAAAGCTAAGCCCCCACTTCCCGTACTGTTCTTATAAATTAAATATTATTATGAACATTAAAAACAAGAACGTTAATTTCCATATTTCACAATTTGCTCCAGATGAAAAGGAAATTATAAAAATTCTTATTCCTTTAGCAATATGAAAGCACATAGGTATTTACAGGTAATTCTGGACTGGACTGCCAAAGTGTAAAAGAACAATACCAGGGTAGTTAGAGCTCTACTTATGATGGTATTAAATAATACCTTCCATTGAATTTAAAATTAAACAGTAAAATGGCAGTGAAATATATGCTTTCTCATACTATACAAGAGCTTGCAGGTTCAAAGTCTCATTTTCCTTTTCGACTTCCTATCCAGTCACACGCCCAAATACATCCTGAAGTTTAGTCCATGGAAGTCTTGCTGTTCACATCTCCGAACTTCACGTGTGCTACTGTCTCTGTCTTAGAACACCTTTCTGGGGCTGGACTATCCTGCTCCATGCTTACCCATTCTTCAGTGCTGAGATGAGGCTTTTTCTTTTCCCAAAGCTTTCCTTACCTCTCAGGAAGAATTAGGAGCATCTTGCTGTATTTCTTCTGCAACAGATTCCATTTTCTGTTTTCACGTCTCTTTCTCCTTCAAGTGAGGGCTCCCAGACCTTAAATATAAGCATTGTGTTCTATCCCTTTTTTTCCTTAGATTAGTACTCGGTACATAATACAGATTAAATTTTTTTTGTTTGAAAAAAATGAATGGATAGGTGAAATTGTGTTTCATTGACACAAAATCTGCACAATTTTAATATGCAATAAGCATTCTCAAAAATTAAAAATGACATTGATTGCGATAAAGTATGATGAAGTAGGAGTAATCACTCTACACTTTTTTTTAAGTGAGTAGGCTCTTACTCAGATAAAGTCTTACATGAAGCTTCTCCTTTAAGCCTGGATCTCAGTTCTTTCCAGGGTGCTGACCCTGTATATTCCCACACTCAAAGCCTTTCCACCAAAAAACACAAGCTTCCCCAAGCAGAACTTGAAAACTACTGGGTGTGAAGCTTTCCACATTCAATTTTGCCTTGCTGCTCCCACCAGTTAGTAATCACATTAGCCAGGGTTTGTTGAAAACCACATTTAAAATAAGAGCAACATTAGGAAGTTCAGGCCTTAGCATTTCTCTATTGATCTGATGTTGAATCTTGCAGTTGTTTTCAAAGGTGACCCTTGAGGAGGGAGGATGTTTCCTTGGTAACAGGGATGAGTGCTTCCAGCATGTAGAGAAAATGCATCTCTATTTGTTTTGTACTCAGCTACCACAAGGAGATGTGCCGTTGTTTTAGGGGAAAAAAAAAAAAAAGAATCCCTCATTTGTAAGTACCAATAGACTCTCCAACTCAAGGACTGAATGTTATTCTGGGAAACAAGAAATAATTGTAATTATCTGGCAATAGCTTCCCCATTCCATGAGAAAGACAGAACCTCTATATTGCAGCGTTTTCACTTTTCCATCTCCAATTACAACACAAGTATGTGCACAGACACATGCACGCACACTCATGCCACTCATTCTTTTTTGTTTTTTCATTTCTGTGTGAATTTCTGCATTTGCTATCCTCTCTGGGTGGCCATCTTTCACTTATTTCCTACTTCCAGTAACGACTTCTTTTCACATCTCAGTTTCTAATGTCAACCATATTACAGCTCAGAATTAAACATCAAAATTATCATGGCCAAAGAAGTCTAGGTTGGAGCTCTAGAACTTGGTCAGGAGGCATAGCCCCCTATTTTTGCAAGATGAGTTGAAAAAATATAGCAGACCTTGAAGTTATTGTTGTTCATGTTATATTCTGCCTTTAATTCACATTTGCATATATTATTTTAAACAATATAGGAGCATTTCATTTGTTGTGCTTAATGACTCCTAAGAGTAGTCTAAAAATATTTTTCTTTCTAACAACAAAACTTCTTCGGTAATTGCATACAATGGCACAGTCATATGACAAGAAGGCTGAGCAATCTAGTGTGTCAGACAGATATCCATGATAAAGGAAATGTTTTGTCTGGATTTTACATTCATAAAATTATTGAAGCTGTAGAGGTTTTGTTAGGAGAAAGTCCTCCAAAGAGATGCCTACAGATATTATATTTATGCTCATTTAACCAGGAAAATAGACAAATGAATTACATTTTTAGAACAAAGAATATGCAGTATATCAAAAGATTAACTCACAGCCTAATGTTTCAATGTTAAACATACACGATCCTAAGCATGAAGAGAAAACGTTCAATGGATTTTTCACACCCAAAATAATGTTAAAATATCGTTTATATCATTTATCATGTAGTGTTATGAATATATGGATTAAAAATACATTTTGGGGACTGGTGCTGTGGCATAGCAGGTAAAGCCATCACCTGCAATGCTGGTAAACCAAATGGGCACTGTTTGTGTCCCAGCTGCTCTACTTCTGATCCAGCTCCCTGCTACTGGCCTGGGAAAGCAAAAGAAGATGGACCAAGTACCTAGGCCCCTGTCTTCTACATGGGGGACCTGGATGAAGCTCCCAGCCTCTGGCTTCAGACCAGCTGAGGTCCAGCTGTTGCAGCCATTTGGAGAGAGAACCAATAGAAGGAAGATCTCTCTCTCTCTGTCTCTCTATCTTTCTCTCTCTCTCTTTCTCTCCCCCCTCCCTCTCTCTCTCTTTCTCCCTGTAATTCTGCCTTTCAAATAAATAAATAAATCTTCTTAAAAATACAATTTGTTCTCATAAACTTGGAAATTCATGTCTACAATGGACCTGAGAAACAATGTAATCCCTTATTTTATATGTGAAAAAATGAACACCAAGAAATGGTAAGAAACATACTCCTAAAGGCAGTCACAAAGCTTGGTCTAATATCAGAAATTCCTTGGATTTTATTTGCTTACCATATAAATTGCTCACCATATGTTTCTTCAAGAAAATAATTGGATTTTACCTTCACTGTTAAAATTTTCATTTAACATAATGATCAACTTTCAACACTTTCCTACAAATTGACATTGCAAGTATACATGTGGCAATAGTTAGGAATGCCAGCAGCTGAAAATAACAGAAAAAAACATTTAGACATTTAGAGTGACCCAATAGACATCAGGTAATTGTGACTCCACACATGTATCAAACATCACAATGCGCCCATAAATATGTATACTATGGATCAATTAAAATTTGTTTAACAGAAATAATCTTTAGAAAGGCACCAAATATTGGTTCAGTGGTTTTGTCACAGCAAGACTGACATTTTTTAAATTCTCTTGGGTATTTCTTGTGTTTGCCTTCTCATGGTCATGAGATAGGAACAATGGCATTCCAGTCTGCCTTTGAGAAATAAGGAAGAAGGTACCACGCCAGCTTCCACGTAAGGAAATATCTTAGAGCATGCCCTTATAACATAGAGCTCTTAGCAAGTCATGCCTCATTGTCCATAACTAAAGCAGAGGGCCGCTCTCATTGAACAGAAGTCTGAGAACAGGAACACTTATGTTTTTCAACTGTAGCATTTGTAGCAAAGGCAGTAATGAGAAAATGTTCCAGAAATTTCTGAGGATGATCTAAAAGGATCAGATTCTTAATTGAAGTCAGAGGATAGATAGATGACAAGTAGATAGATAAAATAGAAATCAACAAAACTGTGAAAGGAATCAAGACTTAAAATATGAAAAATGTATGACACTGCAATCTTAAAATATAGGGAAATTAAGTATTCAAAGTGAAAAAAAAAGAGATGATATGAAGCCACATATAAATGTAAATGTTTCCTAAATTGTTTCTGTGGTCTTATGAGCCTGCTGTGTGGACAGTGTCACTAGTCCACCAAACCAAACTAACAGACAGCAAGTTGACATTTTCAATAAGCATTAAGAACCTGTACGTTTGACCAATGAGCAAGTCATGGGGAAGCACCAGGTAAACTACTGCTAAGAAACCAATCACTCTTGAATGTCCAGGATTAAAATCAATACATTGTATGAATAATGTAAGTAATTTGTGCACTCTCTCCTTAAATCAGAAATTGGAAAGACTATATTATTACAAGTTACAAAGATACTCCAAAAACTTCAAGGAAAATAGAATTTTAAAGTTAAATTCATTTTGGTGCAAAAAACTGTAATCATGAATACTATTTGTCATGTAGCTTAAAATCATTTCTGATCACTTTGAAAGTGCTTAAAAACATTTGTATAGCTCTTTTTCTCCTTTAAGCCAGTATCATATTACATGAAAAACAAGCAGGCTATGATTTGCCATCATAGCAAATCAGCAACTTCAACTTCCAGAGTACTTCTGCTGCACTTATTTTTGAAGAACATGCTAGAATGAAAGCTCCATGAAGGCAGATTCTTATTCATTGTTACATTCTTACTGTTTAAAACACCTGCTACAAAATAGTAACTCAACAAAGAGTTGTCATCTGAGTAAGCAAAAATTAATCTACTTTGTACCAATTTTATCTTTGGCAAATGTTATTCCAATTTTTCAATAAATTCTGCAAAACTTTACTCTCTCAACATTGGTTGTACAGCAGCAATGGAGTTAACATCAGATCCTGCTTCAGAAAATTGTTCATTGATCTAAAGGATTAGATTCCAAATGTGGAAAATGAGAACACTGCTTATCTTTCTGTCTCCATTTACAGATCCAAAGCCTGATACACAGTGCATTTTTTTTGTAAAATGAGTTGCCAGCCAGATTTTTAAATGACTTATAAAAATGATGGTAATTGATATTTTAGCTCAAAGCATTAAAACAAAATTTCATTGACATGCTTCCAATAAATTTGAGATTCCTAAATTTCATTTTTAAGACTATTATTCAAGTTCAAATGCATCAAACTTTTCTTCCAGAATGTTAATGAAAGTCTCAGAGAAAAATGCATGAGACTCAAATGTGAGTTAAGCACACACTCACACATCTATGGAAATGTACATGTGAAGAGATGTCAAAAGGAGGAAAAATAGAATTAAAGATGTTTGTTCTGTTGCAAAATTTTTTGCAATGAATGCAAAAGTTTTTACAATACATATTTTCCACAAACTTTTTGAAATTCCCTCCTAAATCATAAAGTACTTATTTTTCAGATCATTCTGGGCTTATAAAATTAACTGTTCCCCAAAAGAATAAAAAGATTATCTTAGGCAAACCAAATAACCTTGTAAGGAAAGAATTATATAAAATTGTGTTTTATTATTAATTTTTATCTCTGCAACCCAAGTACAATTTGTAACAAATGAAAATGAAGATAATGAGTCTTTATGGCTAGAAGATTAAAACATTGCTTTATTGATATTAAGTATAATTTTATTGCTATCCAAATAATCCTGAAAGTTGAGCTCACAATCAACTCCATAATACATATAATTTTACAACAGAGCATCAAATCAGGTAAATAAATACATAAATTTTCAACAAGTCAGATGCTATATTTGTTGAAACATTTTTAAAACAGACATCATTCTTTCAGTTTGTAGTATTTTTACTATGGTACATGCAGGCTTAGCTAAGGTGAACAGGAACCTTGCTAATATCCTGTATGAATGAACACACTGCTCTCACTAATTTCACTGAAGCCGTGAGAAGTGCAGGATCCTTCCCCAGTTAGTCAAAGCACAAAGACTAGTTCAAGCGGTTTATTCCATGAGACGAACAGAAAGCAAAGACAATAAATTTTAAAAAGAACATCTAAAGCCACACGTAGACACAAATGAAAGGCAGGGGTAAGTTGGTTGGAAAGCAGAAGGCTGAAGCGTTAATTGAACATTACCTTTTACTCCTAGTGAGGAAAATACATCATGGTCATTTCAGTCTCTTCTCACAGAGCTGATTTCAAACCCCCAACTGAGAAGGCAGCTGTGCAGAGCAAGCGACTGGGGAGCTCAGCAGGAGTCCTGTATCCTAATGCTACTCCAGAAATCCATGCCTCCTTTCTGCTGCTCTGTTGTCATGGACAATGCCAGAAATGTGAAATGCTGTCCTCTTTTCCACAACGGTGGTAGCAATATCACAGTGATGGTTTATCTGAAGACTTCAGAAGCCTGGATCATCCTGTTTTTATTGTTATTTATTTTCAACATAGCCTCCACAGAGCAGGCACTGGCTAGTTATCAAGACACTTAAAATTCTGAAACTGTTCCATTAATCATAATGCTAAGGGAATAGATGCTGGTAAAACAGACAAGAAAGTTGGAGCATCTGGTAAAGGAGTGGTGACTGCTTATCCCCCCGCCCTCCACCCTCTCCCACACACACACACCCCCACCAAAAAAGGGAAAAAATAAAAAAAGGAAATAAAGGAAAATGCTTTACCTTTACACTGCAATTTTTTCCCAGATTGCAACATCAAAAACCTTATCTTTAATAAATATATATACATGCATTTTATGCCTCCGATAAAAGTAGCAAAACAAAATTAACAGCAGCCTTAAAACAGGGCTACATTTTTTAAAAGCCCTTGAAAATGGAATTAATTTATATCTGTTCCCATACAGTGCCATTAAAAATGTTTTATGAGGTAGTCTGGAAATGACTTGAGAAATAATTACAGGGAAAGTCCTGAGCCACATAAAGGCTGGAGTTGCTGGCTGCAGGGCATGACTGATGCTACAGGACTGTCACAAATGAATAAAACATGCCAAATCAGAGGCAGGAAGGCCAGTGGACTGAGCATTCACAGGCAGAGCAAAGGCAATTGTTTACATTTCTGAAAGTACCATACACACAAAAGGGATATACATCAAGCATACAATTGCACTTATTTTTATAAATTATACAGTGCTTCAGTATGTACATTTAAGGACAAATTCAAAATGCTATTTACTATGTTTTAATACATATAATAGTTATTAAACATTTAAGAGAAACATGAACAATTTAAATGATTTTATTATCATTTATTATTTAGCTTCTTTTTGTTTCAAAACTACAATGAAAGTAGCTTGGACAAAATACTCAAAATAGAGGAACGTGCTCTAAGTTATTGTAGAAGTGTCTTTTATTTCTATTTATTAATTTTATAAGTTAATTTGGGTAAAAATGCAGAACTAAAATATTAGCATTCAGAAGTGCTTATTTATTTATGAATTAGGTGAAAACATTATTGACACATTCTTTCAGGAAGTTCCAATGGAAATATATTTTGAGAAATCAAAAATTAATACATGATTATTATTGAGTACCAAATAACTGTAAATTTAGCAGCTTAAAACACAATACACAGGGGTGGGCATCATGGCTCATTTGGTTAATCCTTCGCCTGCAGCGCCGCATCCCATATGGGTGCTGGTTCTAGTCCCAGCTGCTCCTCTTCCAGTCCAGCTCTCTGCTGTGGCCTGGGAAAGCAGTAGAAGATGGCCCAAGTGCTTGGGCCCTTCACCTGCTTGGGAGACCAGGAAGAAGCTCCTGGATCCTGGCTTCAGATCAGTGCAGTTCCGGCCGTGGCAGCCATTTGGGGGGTGAAAGGTGAAAGGAAGACCTCTCTCTCTCTGTCTCTCCCTCTCACTGCCGATAACTCTACCTGTCAAATAAATTTTTAAAAAACACTATATATATATATGTATATATATATCTTACTTTGAAAATGTAAATACAGTAACTTTCTAGAGAATCTTGCATCATTTTGCAATATATTTCTAGCAATCTCTTTTTTTGCTACTAATTCATTCCTTCACAATATGTCATGATGATTTTTGCCAACAGATGACATTCTTGCCCTGAACAAATTATTTAAGGTTTTCTCTAGTAGAACAACATTTCTAAATTCATAAAATATTCATTTTTGTATATACTATTATGATTTTTTATTTTTTTAATTTTATTTAAGGTATACCAGTTTCATTTATTTCATATATACAGATTTAGGAACATAGTAATACTTCCTGATGCCTCCCTCCCACCCATGCTCCTGTTATTCTTCCCCCTCCCTCTCCTCTTCCCATTACTATTCTTCACTAAGATCTATGTCAATTAACTTCATACACGTATGATTAATTCTACACTAAGTAAAGAGTTCAACAAATAGGGTGAAGAAAAAAATACTGATCCTCAACAGTAAAGACAAGGGCTGTAAACAATCATCAAATCTCAAAAAGTCAATTTCACTCCCAAACATTACATTTTAGGTACTCTATTAGTTACCATGGATCAGGGAAAATATATGGAACTTGTCTTTTGGGGACTGGCTTATTTCACTAAGTGTAATAGTTTCCACTTGAATCCTTTTTTTTTTTTTTTTTTTTTACTGCTGAGTAGTATTCCATAGTGTATATATACCACATAACCTTTATCCAGTTATCAGTTGATGGACACCTGGGTTTATTCCATATCTTAGCTGTTGTGAATTGAGCTGCAATGCACATGGGAGTACATATAACTGTTTCATATGCTGATTTCATTTCTTTTTGGTAAACCATATGCCCCAGCAATACCACTCCTGGGAATTTGCCTTTTTACCAATGACAACACAGCATTGCTTTGATCCTCTCACTTCCTTGAAAATTATTTCCAAGACAAACATATCCTAAATTTAATATTTTTCTGACAGCACCTAGTTCAGAGTCGGGCCCCTATCCTTTACACTCTGATGAAATCACCCCTACCTAAATCCAACCTTTCAAAATCCTTGGTCCAAATCCTTCTAGCAATTCCTCTGGTGTGGTTCAATCAGATGTACTATTCATGTCTTTGGTATATTTCTTTTTTTTTTTTTTTTTACAGGCAGAGTGGACAGTGAGAGAGAGAGAGACAGAGAGAAAGGTCTTCCTTTGCCGTTGGTTCACCCGCCAATGGCCGCTGCGGCCGGCACGCTGCTGCCTGCGCACCGCACTGATCTGAAGCCAGGAGCCAGGTGCTTCCTCCTGGTCTCCCATGGGATGCAGGGCCCAAGCACTTGGGCCATCCTCCACTGCACTCCCTGTGGTATATTTCAAGAGGTTGAAATACAACAATCTCTTTATTTTTTTATTTATACAAAGGGAACAGATTTCATGTATTTTATATGTAGTTTTAAGAGCATGATGATACTTCCCACCATACCTACCTTTCCTTCCTTGCTCCAATCTCATATTGACTGTTATGCAGTCATTCTAATGTGATACCATACAAAATTGCAAACTACATGAAAAACACATAAGAAAAGCACACTGAATACTGTGGTTTAAAATACTGAGTTTGTTGGTATTTTCTCTTCCAATAGTTTCTCTACTATTTTTTCTCTACTTTATTTTTTTAATTAATTTATTTATTTAAAAGGCAGAGTTAGAGAGGCAGAGAGAGAGAGAGAGAGGTCCTCCATCCGATGGTTCACTCCCCAGTGGCCTCAATGCCCAGGGAGACTTGTACTGATCCGAAGCCAGGAGCCAGGAGCTTCCTCTGGGTCTCCTACGCGGGTGCAGGGGCCCAAGGATTTGGACTGTCTTCTACTGCTTTCCGAGGCCATAGCAGAGAGCTGGATAGGAAGTGGAAAAGCCAGGACCCAAACCAGCACCCATATGGGATGCCTGCACTGCAGGCAGAGGCTCTACCCACTGCACCACAGCGCCTGCCCCTCTACTTTCTTTCTCAAAGTTCAGTAAATTATCTTTTTAATAAAAAGTTATATATAATAGTGAATTTAAAATATCTCCTCTCTTTATTAAATAGGAGTGCTAATGTCTGTGATGCACTCGACTCATTTCCCTTCTATTTATTCAGCAAAGAATAGATGTATGCATAGCCAATAATTAATACATGCTTCTAATTAATACGATGCTCCTATGTTGATAAAAATAATGATTATTAATTCATCCACATAATTAGTTGATTTATTGACACATATTTCGAGGTGATTTAGATACATTTGCAATTATTTGATGCACATCACAATGTTAGTAATTAATTCCTGTACATGTTCATTCTGTTGTTCTTTTGTGTTCTTCCATTTGTTTGGTCAAGTATATGTTGAGCTTCTTTAATTTTTCAGACATTTTCCAGGTCACTAGGCAGAGTTGAATATAGTGAATGCCTACTAGAAAGAGTTCACTGTGCAGCCGGCGCCATGGCTCACTAGGCTAATCCTCCACCTGCGGTGCTGGCACACCGGGTTCTAGTCCGGGTTGGGGCGCCGGATTCTGTCCCGGTTGCCCCTCTTCCAGGCCAGCTCTCTGCTATGGCCCAGGAGTGCAGTGGAGGATGGCCCAAGTCCTTGGGCCCTGCACCTGTATGGGAGATCAGGAAAAACACCTGGCTCCTGGCTTCGGATCAGCACGATGCGCCAGCCGCAGCATGCTGGCCGCAGCGGCCATTGGAGGGTGAACCAATGGCAAAGGAGTTCACTGTGCAATGGAGAGGTGCATACAGTGGATACATTATCAAATAGGGGAGTACATGCTCAGTGCTCACACACAGAAGACGCTTGAGGGCCACAGGTAAGGGAATACACATTCTCTCGGTTGTCATTCTATGGTGCAGAGTGAGAGTACTCAGGGATGACCTCATGGAGGGGGTGAGGCTCACCATGAGTCTTTGATCACAAGCATGCAATTGTCAGGCAAACGAGAAAGGAAAAAGTTTCCAGGCTGCATAGGAGTAGGTAATTAAGAGCTAAAAAGAGATAGACAGTTAACACTATAAGAGATTGGAGGAGTTAGGATGAATGTGGGTGTAAGGAGTGAGGGATCTGACCGAAATCATAAAAAACGGAGAAGGTATAGAGGGAGAGAAAGAATCAATCTGGAATAACTGCAGAAGCATCTGTCCTAGTCAGCAATCTAATGGGCGATGGAGATTGCAACAGGAAGGTTTTTTTTTTGTTTGTTTGTTTGTTTTTACATATTTGACAGGTAGAGTTAGACAGTGAGAGAGAGAGAGAAACAGAGAGAAAGGTCTTCCTTCTGTTGGTTTACTCCCCAGATGGCGCTATAGCCAGAGCTACGCCGATCCGAAGCCAGGAGCCAGGTGCTTCCTCCTGGTCTCCCATGCAGATGCAGGAGCCCAAACACTTGGGTCATCCTCCACTGCCTTCCTGGGCCACAGCAGAGAGCTGGACTGGAAGAGGAGCAACAGGGACTAGAACCCGGTGCCCATATGGGATTCCGGCGCCACAGGCAGAGGATTAGCCAAGTGAGCCATAGCACTGGCCCGCAACAGGAAGTCTTTTGTCCATACAGAGCCATCAGGTAAGTGAAAACTACAATCTAAATTTTGAAATAATCACTCCAAGTAGTGCTATGAATTGCAAATGAAGGCGTATTTCACATGTAACAACAAACATTTGTTTCTGCGGTAGTAAACAGTCACTCTTCAGCCAAAGAAGGGTTGTACACACACAAACACACAGCTGAAAAACTAAAATGAGAATCTAGTCTAATCCAGCTGTCTCATAAATACACCACCTGTCTATTGTGATGGCTCCCGCTGAACTATAGATTATTTTTCTTACATTTTTATGTTCTCTGAACTCAGAGTAGGGCCAGAAATGATAGATGTAGAAGTTAGTGCCTCTGAAAGTAACTAGCTGAAGAAGAAAAATATGAAAGAGAATCAGTCAGACTTTGATGGAGAGAAATGATGCCAAGTTCCAAAGGTGTAAAAATACAAAATTCAGGGAAAGACACGTTTCAAACTTTAAATTGGGACTGGAAATGTTGCCAGTGTGGTTACATATGGCAGGCAAACAGAGCACAAGCCAAAAGAGGCGAAACGGATAGAAGAAGGTGTGAAACTTGATCTGAGCATATGGGGAGCATTAGCAGAGGGAACAAAAATGGGCCACATTGTGTAGAAAAGGAAGCCCAGTGGAGGGAGCACTTTAGAACAGCAGACAAATGGGGAACTAGACAAATGCCAGTTGGACATACTATGTTAGATTCCATTGGATTTTCATTTCCCCCTGAAAGCCTTAGTAACAATCTTTTAACTCTTTAGCTGAAACCAGCCCTTGCTTCCTTTCCATTCCACTAGCAAATATGGAGAAAGAAGTCTGTTCCTTTTATAGCTTAAATTTAGACACACCTAGGAAGGATCAGAAGTCAAGGCCAAACGTGTGTTTTTGTCCTACTTCAGTTTAAAGTCACATTTTTTCCCCATGAAAGATGGGCAAATCCGTGGTAATTGAGGAGAAAAATCAAATGAAATGCAATAAAATGATTCAAGTGTCTTTAAAGAGGTGTCAGGAATTTTCTTTGAAATATAACACACACTGGTTTTATTCTGAAAAGGTAGAAGAAATTGTATTTCTTACATTTAGTTCCAAAACTTTATTTACAGAAATCACTCTATAACATATATTCTATCAGAACAAAGGAATTTTTACAGAATTTCAATCCTACTCTCCTTACTTAAAAGAAAAAGATTATTCGGTGACTTGATTTTTAATAAAAATTTTTAGTAAAATATAAAATGTATGTAATGATTATTTAATACTTTGTAACAAATTACTTTTATAAGCTTGTCAAGTAATTTCAGCTGCTTGAAACAACCCACATTCAATAGTTCACCATTCCTGAGGATCAGGCCTCCTGGCATAGCATAGCAGGGTCCTCTGCCTCAAAATCTTGCCTGAGGCTCCAACAGGTGTCAGCAGTGGCTGCAATCATGTCAGGACATGACTGGAAGATGTGCTTCCAAGTTCATTCACAAAGCTCTGGTCTTGTCTGGCCGTGGACTGGTAACATCAGCTCTTGGTCATTAACCCTCTCTGTAAAACTATTCACAATGCATCAGCCACCTTCCTCCAGGGCGGGAGGTAAGAGAGGAAGAGACAGACACAGACACAGAAGATAGTGTTTTTGTAACCCAGTCTCCAAAATGGCATCCATCCTTTTGCCATATTCTAATTTTTAAGCCAGTTGTTAGTTATAACACACATTTAAGGGAAGAGAAATTTACAAAGATGTCACTACCAGGAGGTCGGATCATCAGAGACCATTTTAGAGGGTGCCATCCAAGATGACAAAAATGGTTCTTCCCCAATCAGATATCACATAAATTTCATTTGGAGTAAAGTATCGTAATACATAAATTTTGGTGAGAGAGATATTTATTACCTCCCAAACTCTTCTTATTAATTTACCATAATCTATTAGTTACTTGACAAGCTTATAACTTATCAATCTGGCTAAATGTGGCATTGTGTCTATAACCCTGTTTGATTAATCATAGTAGATTGGCTAGCATTAACTGTAGAATGACCACTTTGAATTAAAGTATATGTTACAGAATGGTGAACATATAAGAAGAGAGTTAAACATTTATTTCCCAGGGAAAATCCATTTAAAATTTTCCTCAAAGTCAAAAAAATATAAATTACTAAATAACATTAAAACATCAAAGGTTCTCAACATTGGCCATTTTTACCCCCTCTGCTTACTGATTCCCCCAAAATGCAAATCTTCTAGAGTCATACCCAGACTTGCACAGGCCATGTTAGCCAAACTAGCCAGCTCATTGTCTCCAATATTCTCTGATTCTCATTTTAAGGATCCAACACATGCTCACTTTAAAAGCCCATCCACTTATCAATCTTCAAAACTCTGTTTTAAAGCATGTTCTCTTTACCTACACTTTCCAGACTAACACTCAGCTGCAAGGGAGCATGCCAAGGAAATAGAGAGTCAGAGTTCAATGAATCAGAAATAGTTCTGTGGCTACCCCTTAACAATCACAAGTGAAGAGCCTTTGCATTATGCATTGGTTTTGCATTCTTAGGACTGACTCATTCTCAAATGATTTTATGCACCTAGCTGGAACAGCCTGTACTGCACCCTGTAATCAAGCTCAGCCCTGGTTCCTCCACCCTTTCTTCTCCCAATGCAGGTGTCCGCAGACCCCCACCCCACTGGATGTTCCTCCGTACCTAGCAGGCTTCTGTCTCATTAGGGATACTTCAACATATGGAGCTGTACCTTGACAAGTCCATCTTTCTCATCAACTATCTATATTTCTAACTATATCTATATACATATTTTTAAGATTCATTTTATTTATTTGAAAGAGTTACAGAGAGAAGTAGAGCTGGAGAGAGAGAGAGAGAGAGAGAGAGAGAGAGAGAGAGAGGTCTTCCATACGCTGGTTCACTCCACAGGTGACCACAACAGCCAGAGCTGAGCTGATCTGAAGCCAGGAACCTGGCACTTCTTCCTGGTCTCCCATGTGGGTGCAGGGGCCCAAGCTGTTGGGTCATCTTCTGCTGCTTTCCCAGGCCATAGCACAGAGCTGGATCAGAAGTGGAACATCTGGGACTCAAACTGGTGCCCATATGGATGCTGGCACTGCAGGCTGGGGCTTTAACAACTGTGCCACAGAGTCAGCCTTGTATATATATTATTTTTAACTAAAATCCGTGTGTTATTAGATTTCCCAGTGTTTGCTGATGTTTTTTTCATTCCAGGAAAGAATCCCACATTACATTTAGTCACCATGTCTCCGAAGGTTCTTCTTAGTTGTGACTGTTTTCTTTTGTTTGTTTTGATTTGGACAGTGCTGAGTTTTACTGGTTGGGCATTTGGTAGTGTCACTCAGTTTGAGTTTGGCTGAGGTTTTTTCCATGACTACATTCAGACATAACTTTGAGGAGGAAAAGCACAGACAGGAAGTGAGATTCTCAGCACAACATTAAGGGTGATTGCTAACAGCACATCACTAATGCTGTAAACCTTATTCATCTGGCTGAGGTGGTGGCTGACAGCATTTCCCACTATGAAGTTTCATTTTTGCTCTCCTTGAACTCTTTGGAAATAAGTCATTAACTGTATTCCCCATCTTCACAGATACAGGAGCCCAGAGTTGTACTCCATCTCCTTGAGAAGGGAATATCTTCACCAATGATTTGGAATTCTCTATATGGTATATTTGTGTGTCCTCCCCCTAGTTATTTACTTTTGCAGTTGTTTATTTGTATCAGTATTAACTCATAGATATTTAGCTATAATTTATTTATTCTCATTAAATAATGCAATATCATATACTTTGACAGTTGGAAATTCTTTTGTTATCACTCGTGTTTTAGCATTTCTTTAAATTCAGGCACTATGAGATGCTCCAGGCTCATCATGTATTTACCAGAATGAGCCTAGAATCAGCCGTTTTTGGACAGACCTTGGTTCCTTTTATCAGAGAGTGATATTTAAGACTACAGTCTGTGCTGAGATGTCATGGTTGGGCTCATCAGTGGATAGAACGAGGAAATATTTATGCATACACATCATGTATAATTAGCTCTCCATATATGCATCACTATCTATATTAAGCTAAGCCAGATTTTATATATCCAACTTAATGCAAGACTATGTGGTCCATTATAGCTTTCTCTCCTTGATTATGTATGTTAGAAAAAAGGCTTTAGACAACTTAAATTTAATATGCTTTTTTTTATTTTTTATTTTTGACAGGCAGAGTTAGACAGTGAGAGAGAGAGACAGAGACAGAAAAAAAGGTTTTCCTTTTTCCGTTGGTTCACCCCCCAAGTGGCCGCTACCGCCAACGCATTGCGGCCTGCGCGCTGCGCTGATCCGAAGCCAGGAGCCAGGTGCTTTCTCCTGGTCTCCCATGCGGGTGCAGGGCCCAAGCACCTGGGCCATCCTCCACTGCACTCCTGGGCTGCAGCAGAGAGTTGGCCTGGAAGAGGAGCAACCAGGACAGAATCCAGTAATGCAGTGCCCCGACTGGGACTAGAACCTGGGGTGCTGGCGCCGCAGGCAGAGGATTAGCCTAGTGAGCCGCAGCGTGAGCTAACATGCTTCATTTTAACAACAGCAAAAGGTTCACAAATGGGGGAGCTGCATGTAAACTAAAAGGGAATCAGAGAGCATCACTTCACGACATGGACAGTGAGTACCGAACATGGAAGTACAGAAATATTTTGATTGGTCATAGCTGGACATTGGCTCATTTAGACATGATCTAATTAGGTGATTGGCTGAAGTGTGGTTACTTGTAATTGGTTAGCTATTACAAAAGAAATGTACTTCTAAATTGGGCGGTGCCTTATTGTGCAGAATCTCAGACTATAGTGACAGCCTTGGCAATAATCTCTTGCTTGTTTCATTTAAAATGTGAATCCCCACTCCAACAATGAAAAAATATGGCTCTGTTATATATTTATTTTGTGCAGATATGTACTAAGATTTCAGAATCAATAAGTTATATAGCTATAAGAAATAACAAATCGGCCAGCACCGCAGCTCAATAGGCTAATCCTCTGTCTGTGGCACTGGCACACCAGGTTCTAGTCCCAGTCAGGGCACTGAATTCTGCCCCGGTTGCTCCTCTTCCAGGCCAGCTCTCTGCTGTGGCCCGGGAGTGCAGTGGAGGATGGCCCAAGTGCTTGGGCCCTGCACCCGCATGGGAGACCAGGAGGAAGCACCTCGCTCCTGGCTTTGGATCAGCGTGATGCACCAGCCGAAGCGCGTGGGCCTCAGTGGCCACTGGGGGGTGAGCCAACGGAAAAGGAAGATCTTTCTGTCTGTCTCTCGCACTGTCCACTCTGCCTGACAAAAAAAAAAGAAAGAAAGAAAAGAAAAGAAACAACTTTATCAACTAGCGTATAATGTTTGTAGACAGTTTGATTTGTCATAAATCTGACAATTTTTAGTCATTCCCTAAGTTGCTTAAGTCAGCACCTCTTGATCACTATTGTCTTCAGTGAGGTTATTTCATACACGTGTAATATAGTTGAATTCATTTGTCACCCTGATTTCTGACCAGGGTTCACATGGCCACCTGGTTGTCTTTTTGTTCCTACAGCATGCTCTCTCTTTATGCTCTAAAGTTCTATGGGATTCGACAAATTTTGCTGCATATTCACAAATAGAGTCCATACATAATAGCTTTATGACTTCAAAATATCCCCATACTTAATGTAATCAACTCACCCTACTCTGAAAATCCCTAGCAACTATTTATTTGGTTTGTTCTGTAGTTTTTGCTTTGTTCCCAATGTCATATAAATGGAATCATTCAGTATGCAGCCTTCTGAGACTGACCTCTTTAATTTAGTGTTACGCATTTAAAATCCATTCACATGACTTGATAGTGGATTTCCTTGTATATACTATGCAATTGAATGAATGTATCACAATTTATTGCCCCATTCACCTTTTGAAGGGCATCCTGATTCCTCCAAATTTTTGGTAATTATGATAGAACTGCCTATGAGCATCCATTTGCAGGCTTTTGTATGGACATATATTTTCAAATAAATGGGGTGAATGCCAAGAAACACAAATATTAGGTTATATAGTAAGTATACATTTGACTTCAGATCAACTTTTGAATCAATGATGGATACTACATTATACAAATGTTTGTAGAATAGTGTGTGTTATGTATTTTTGTCCTCTTACCACCAAAAAGTCTTTCTATTAAACAGGTGAGCATTGGGGAAGAATGAAGTCAATAATAATTACAGGGCTGCATTTTCTAGATAGAATTCTACTGGAAATGGAAGTAGTGGAGTGGAATTTAAAGCCAAATATAAAAGTGAACAAAAACAAAGAAATATAGTTAAGTTGTAGGCATAAAAGGAGTATTTAAAAGAAGAAGGCAGGGATGGAGGGAATGTGTTTCATATCTAAGTCTGAGTACCAAATGCAGATAAAAGAAGCAATAGAGTCTGAGATGGAAAGAGCTGTGAGAGAAGAGATACAAAAAGGGTGTATCTGGGGAAATGAAATACAAAGCAACAATAAGAAATCATGAGTGTGTGAGCTGGAGGCACATCCACACAAGGAAACAAACTGTGCACTCTTCCTAAAGACAAGGGTTCAGGTGGGACATACCTCCCTCAGAGGAAGCCTCTTGGAAATCTCAGTTTCTTTGCTAGACGACATACTTCCATGACTTTATTTAAAATCTGCTCCTTCACCATTTTTATGTTGAAGAATTTTGTGAGAAAGCTTAAGAATCCCACTGTTCCCTGATTCTTCTTACATTCCACTCACACTCTCTTCTACATGTAGGGACATACTATTAAAGCTACAAGTGTAATGTAGAATGAAACAAGTCCAAAAGAATTTTGTTATAATATAATATTTATTGCAAACAAAGAAATGTTTAAAATGTAATTTAGTGTGGCTACTGAGATGATCCTTCCAAAAATGCATGAATGAATGGTGATGAATATATGGTTACTAAAATAATCAAATGATTGGATAAGGAGTTAAGAGAAGGAAGAGCGTCATCAAGAAATGTTCTATTATTGCAACACACACTGTGGAGGAATCTCTTCCTGGCACCTCCTGAATGCATTGTAGAAACACTTGCTTAAGGAGCAGGCACTGTGGTACAGTGGGTTAAAGCAATGGCCTGAAGCACTGGCATCCCATATGGGCACCGGTTCTAGTCCCAGTTGCCCCTCTTCTGATCCAGCTCTCTGCTATGGCCTGAGAAGGCAGTAGAAGATGGCCCAAGTCCTTGGGCCCCTGCACCTACATGGGAGACCCCGAGGAGGCTCCTAGCTCCTGGCTTCAGATCGGCATGGCTCCAGCTGTTGCAGTCATCTGGGGAGTGAACCAGTGGATGGAAGACCTCTCTCTCTGTCTCTACCTCTCTCTGTAACTCTGTCTTTTAAATAAATAAAATAAATCTTTAAAAAAAAAAAAAAGAAACATTTGCTTAAGCAGTTTGATAGTCAGGAGGTCAAATCAGAAAACACATAGACAATGAATGATTAAGTATATCTTTGTTTCTAAAACTCATATTTCTCTTATAAATTTGTTATATTGAGGCCGGCGCTGCGGCTCACTAGGCTAATCCTCCGCCTTGCGGTGCCAGCACACCGGGTTCTAGTCCTGGTCGGTTGGGACGCTGGATTCTGTCCCGGTTGTCCCTCTTCCAGGCCAGCTCTCTGCTATGGCCCAGGGAGTGCAGTGGAGGATGGCCCAAGTGCTTGGGCCCTGCACCCCATGGGAGACCAGGATAAGCACCTGGCTCCTGCCTTTGGATCAGCGCGGTGCGCCAGCCGCGGCGGCCATTGGAGGGTGAACCAATGGCAAAAAGAAGACCTTTCTCTCTGTCTCTCTCTCTCACTGTCCACTCTGCCTGTAAAAAAAAAAAAAAAAAATTCTTATATTGTCAAGAACTTTATTTTGTTTCTATTTTGAGTTACCCTCTGCAACACTATCAAAATTCTGAATTTTCACCAATTCTTATTCAGAGACCTGAAATACAAGGAACCAAAACAACTACAGTATATGTACATAATTGAGATAGTTATACTTCTGGCTTTAAGAAAGACTATGAGTATTCATATTAATTTATGGATTCTAATTAAACAGCAATACATTTTAAAGATAGGTTAATGGGTTATTTTCAAACTATTTCTTCATCTCATCTTTACTATTCTAGGATTATCTATACATACAAATGCTGGAGGAAGGAAATAGAACTTAAATATTTTTGTAATGCTTGTCTTGGTATTATCATATTTAGATAAACATACCACTATTTCCTGATTTCTAATATATTAATTTCATATCCTTGAGGTTTCCAAAGCTACCATTGTTACAAAATACTTTTTACCCATGTCTAAAATAAACACAATTCATAAATAACTGAGTGATTTGATGAAGCCAAAAGGTAGTTCTTCAATTTACTGAATACTAAAAAGTTGGGGGATATTAAACCCACAGCATTCATTGCAGTAACAGTGTAGGATTCTCCTATCATTAGACTGAGGCATTGGATCATGAAGACAGCTCCACAGATGAGCAAGGACCCTCAGCAAAACTCATCAATATTTTCATAATACATCACACTCCTCTCATGTTCATTTGAGACACATTAGAAAGCTTATTAGGTCCTCTGTCTGAATTAACTCTCTGTCTCAATCTTTGACTTACTAATATTTCAAACTGCATTAAGGTAATGATTAGATACTTCCCTGATTGTCTCTTTATGCTGATAAAGCACTTGGCACTCTTTTATAAGCATAATAATACTCATTTTTCTTCTCCAGGTTGGTGTGATATGGTTTTTATTTTAAACAGGTGAGTACAAACTACTGTATGATGTTGTACAACTTCCAAGAGAAATTGATGGAAGTAGGGATGGAAAAAGGATATTAAGGAAAGAAAGTTTTAAACTGAGAGAATATTGATCAACCTTAATAATACCATTTTAAATTCTATTAAATATGACAAATTTTACTTTTTTATATTTGAAAAACTGGGGTTTAGAGTTTCCTTTATTTCTGCTATTTTTCTCTTCAGATGATTTTCCAGTAAATGATATTTCTGTTTCCTGCATCCACTCACAGAATCTTCTTTTTGATGTTTGTGTTCTCTATGACACAAACTGTCATTTTTCTATGCATTTCCATGGTGCCGACCAGAATGCCAAGTGTTCTATTCATAAGTACACACACACATATATATTTATAAATAACTGACACATAAGTATAACTAACACATAAATATATATATATTTATATGTGTGTGTACATTTATGATTACACATACATAATTAGTCATAGACACATTCACATCGCCTCCAAAATTATTTCAAAATTGTTGCCAAGTGGTCCCTTAGTCATGTAGTAATTTCTGTGATTGCTCAAGAACCCCTTTTATATCTTTGTACTAATCTTATGTGTTAGAGGCTAATATTAGTTTGCAATCACAAATGTAGTTATTAATGACTAGTTTTTGACAGATATGGATTCATACCAAATGGAATGTGACTGATTATTTTAAAATGAGTTTTTTTAAATTTCAGCTTTTATTACTACACAAGATGTAACCCACCACAGTCTTGTGAGTATGGGGGGCATCACCCCTTATTGCCCTAGAAGAGATTGGGAAGATCACATGAAGGAGCTATCCAGGAAGGGCAAAATGTGAGGGCAGCCAGCAAGGGCTGTAAGTGACCACCCAGGAACTTAACCCTGCAAGAGTTGGGTGTGGATTCACTCCAGGGTCACATTCAAAATATTTGACAACTGCTACTCTGCGGACAGTGACAGACTGGGACAGGATTCTACAGCTTTGGTGCTCAAAATTATCTCTTAATTTCTGAGCGGTAGAAATGTGAGAATCAAGGAAGAGGAGGAAATGGGAAGGGGTACCTACTGTATTAGGAAACCCAGGGTAACACATTCACCAAACTTTGAGAAGTAGTTTTGTATTCTAACAACCTATAGGGTTCCACAGCTAACAGGTCAAGCTTGACTGATATTTGATTTACATAGGCAAGAAACCCAGATTCTGAATTTAAGAGGTTAGTGACAGAAAAAGCAGTTTTTCTTCTCCCATTGTCCCTTAACAGTTATTCAACAAAAGGCTTATATGCAACAGAAACTCATCCAGTTTGAACCCAAGCTTCCATTTGCACAAGGCTAGACTTACCTGTTAAGACACACTGGAGATGCCCAAATTCCATATCCAAATGCCTGGGTTTAGAGTCTCAGCTCTGCTCCCCGTTTTAGCTTCCTGTTTAATATGCAACCTGGGATGCAGCTGGTGATGGCCCAAGTACTTTGATTTCCAGACTCCTGGCTTCAATCTGGCCCATCCCTTGCTGTTGCTGGCATTAGGGTTCTGGACTAGGAAATGGGAAATATCTCTCTCTTTCTTTCTCTCTCTCTCTCTCTCTCTCTCTTTCTCTCTCCTCTCTCTCTCTCTCTGCCTTTCAAATGAATAAAATAATTTTTATTAAACTATTATATTTTTTCAAAAGTAACAATGATTATCTTATTATATTTTAATACAAATGTTTCGTAACAATTATATGTCCCAAGCAAAATAAAAAAGTAAATTTGTTATTGTTTTACATTTTTAAAAATCTCTCTAATATCTGGCTTAATAGAGGACAACTGGACTCATATTTGACTATATATTCAATCTAATCTGATAGATTGCTTTTGAAAGTACCCATTTATACTTTTTAAAGTATATCAAGAATATACAGGTATTCTTAATACAGTATGTCAAGAATATATAGAAGGTTTGTATTTTAAAATTCAGTCTCATACCAATGTGCATTTGGAAAAGAGTGGAATACTCAACACCTGTTTAAGAGAACTGATAGGCCGGCGCCGCGGCTCGCTAGGCTAATCCTCCACCTTGCGGCGCCGGCACACCGGGTTCTAGTCCCGGTTGGGGTGCCGGATTCTGTCCCGGTCGCCCCTCTTCCAGGCCAGCTCTCTGCTGTGGCCAGGGAGTGCAGTGGAGGATGGCCCAAGTACTTGGGCCCTGCACCCCATGGGAGACCAGGATAAGTACCTGGCTCCTGCCATCGGATCAGCACGGTGCACCGGCAGCAGCGCGCCGGCCACAGCGGCCATTGGAGGGTGAACCAACAGCAAAAAAAGGAAGACCTTTCTCTCTGTCTCTCTCTCTCTCTCACTGTCTGCTCTGCCTGTCAAGAAAAAAAAAAAAAGAGAAAGAATTGATACTTCTTCTGATACTACAATAAAACTCCATTGAGGATAGTTTTTTTAATTTTTATCTTTCTGAGAGATAGAGAGATGGAACTCCCATAAACTGGGTCACTCCCTAAATGTCCATGATGGCTAGTGTTGGCCAGGACTGAAGCTGGGACCTGGGAATGTAAGTTGCAAGAACCCAATCACTTGAGCCATCACTGCTCCCTCTGAGGGTCTGCATTATCAAGAACCTGGAATCAGGAACAAAGTTGGAAATCAAACCCAGACATGAGATGTAGGCATTTGAACTGGTGTCTCAACCAGTAAGCCAAATGCCCAACCCACTGGTCATTTACACATATTAGTTGTATTGATCTTCCAAATAGAAAAATTATAACTCATTATGTTAAAATCACATTTATTAATACCATCACTATATTAACAATACAGCCTTTATACAGAATGATGCTGGCAAAGACCAGCTTTCCAAAATAATTTTTTTCTTTGCAGTCTTTAATTTTATCATTGGTAAAAATACTTTCCTAAACTGACAAGCTCCCATATTCATATTTTAAGAGAAATTTATACCAAATATCCAAGTCTGAAAACTGTAGATTGCCAGTCAGTCATTCCTTAAGGCAGAATTTCTGTTCCATGAAAAAGCAACTAGTTCAGCTCACAACTCAATCACACAGCTGTCTTCCCTCCAGAAACAATCACACACTACCACTAGCATGTTAAAAATAAAATCAATAATTTTTTCTGCCTTGTCAAAGACGTTCTCAAGTGAAACCAGCATTTCTTTTTTAACATTGTGAATGTGAGGCAGTGAGGGATCCAATGACAGCTACTTCATTTTGCTAACACTGCCTTGATTCAGACTAGGGTGTCACCAGTTTTACAGTCCATTACTTCTGCACTCTCAGTGAAAAAGACATGCAGATTTTAATATTCTTCTGAAAGAAGTTTTTGACCTTGCTGCCCCCTTAAAATGTCTTGAGCCCATCAGTGTCCACAAACCGTATTTGGTATCTCCTGGTCTAGGTTATTCCCTAGTCATGCAAAAAATAAATGTAATGATTTACATGGTGAAGAAATGGTGTCCTATTGTCTTAGAGAAAATTGCTTTAACAAACTCACACAACTTTAAATGACGAAGCCAACCCTAGATCCCAGGTATGCTGGTTCCACATATAGTGCTAGTCCCATTGCCCTCATGCTTAATTGCTCCATTCCTTATCTCAGTAGGCATTAGTTTGAGCTACATAGATACAATCGCATATCCCTAAAATGTTTCAATTTGTTATCAGAAGAAAGAACAGAAGAAGAACAACAACAACAGGAAGGAGAAATAAGCCAAAGTATACAAGGTAACATTACCGTATTGATTTCACGCATAAGATATGTGTCCCTTGAGCCCTGCTTAACTACATTCAGGTGGAGAAAGCAATCCTCTTTCAGATGAGGATTTTTGCCCGTACAGCCAGAGTTTTTGTCATCATCTTGGTGACAATCTTATTGATAAATCATAACATCTATCAAAAGACTGAAGATGTGCAGAAAGGCATAATGGGTTTTGCAATGGATTTGTCTTAATAAGGAGCATCCTCAATACCTGGAAGTCACTGTGTTTTTATTCAAACAGTGTTGCATGGCTTTTAGGGGCTTCAAAATTGAGCGCTTCCCTATGGATGCTGTTAAAACAAAAATATATATTTCCCCTGTCCTCTTTCCTATAATAAAGAATATCACAGGAAAGTGAGGGAAGTTTAATACTAAGAATAGAAAATGTTGCATAGAGATGCAGGGTTGGAGGAGCAGGTGATAATGTGTGTGCATACTAATGCTGCTAATTATATACATGGTACAAATGGTAGCCTATTATATATAAAAGTTCATTATACTTTATTATATATAAAATTATGTCAATAATTTATATGTTTACACATAAATACAAATAGTTAATTTTTATTTCTGTGTAATCCTAAACACGAATACATGCATACACATCTATAAACATATGTATATAAATAAGGAGGTTTCAAAATATTCTTGAAAAATTCACTTCATCTTTTAGTGACATGTTTCCAAGAACTCTTTGAAGTCTCCTCAAGCATACATTAATATACATTTTTTACATTTATATAGTAGTATAAAATCATTCAAATGTTAAGAAATAACATAAAAAGATGAATACAAATTAAAATGTTTTAAACTCACTGTGTAAATATTACTCTCTTTACTCCAAATTCTTTCACCATCTGCTTGATAAACATCTAGAAGAGCTCCTTTTTATCGGACTTATAAATACTGAAGAGTTCCCATACTCACACATTTGCTCCACAATTTTTGTAATTGTTGATTATGTCATTATAGATGACAATATTTATTTGTGTTTATTAAAAGAACACACATAATGATTATGGGAGTAACTATTCACTGAGGCTATAAATATATTGTAAGGTTACAACATGGGACAGCACAAAACTATTTCATTATATGCATTTGAAACAATTTTCAGTACCACCACAATTCTTTACTTGAAAAATTCCATAGTGACATCACCTGATATCTGCTAGATCACTTATTTGTTGTATTTATAAACATGATAGAAGAATCTGGTAAGGGATCTGATATCCTTAAAATAACATTGGGCTCAGTGGCCCTTGTGAGGATAGATGTCTGCCTCTTTCAGAACCTGACACATTGCCTAACCCTGAGCTAGCAACTACTACACACCACCCCCATGTGCCATAAGTAAATCTGTGCAGCGACATTTACATGGCACAGATAACTCTGGTAGAACACTGTCTCCTTGCAAGAAACTCATCTAGCTGTGAATTTCTGTGATTTGGATAAAAATAATAAGGGAATTCTTTTCTTTTGAAGGCCCTTATACTTCAGATGCCTCTGCGCTATTCTCCTGTGGATGCAGTATTAATGGAAAAAATGCTCCTCTGTTATACCTAATGTCATGCTCTCAGCAATGCCTCATCCAAGATACTAGGGGAGGTCAGCATGGACATTCAAATAAGTAGAAGATGCTCTAGCACAAAATAGTGTCCTACTAAAACCATGGGAAGCAACTCGGAACCATAGCCTTTCTATGTGTCTTTCATTTTAGTCATCTGATAAACTAATGGGAAATTTTGATTTTCAATAAATGTGATTTTCAATAAAAGAGAGAGCAGATGTTGATTAGCTTATTAAGATGATTTTCACATGATCTTCATATTACTCCAACAGACAATTCTTAAGATTATCAAAAATAGTGTTTTATTTGACACCAATCAAAAGAGGGGCAAATCTTTCTTTTAATCTGTGTATGGAAATAACACTTATTCTGCTGCACTCAAGAACAAATTTGTCAATCAAATTAAGAGAAAAGGAAAGATCACCCACTCAACTGCTAATTGCACAATTAAGCTGATTTATAAAACATAAGAATCAATTTCTGCAATTGCTACTTTTGCTTCTTTCCCATTGCACCTTTGCTTCAGACACAAAAAGATACTTCCATCTACATTTACATTTTACATACTCTTTTTTTAGAAAATGTGTTTCCTTATTTTATTTGAAAAGTAGAGTGACAGTGGTAGAAGAAGGAGCAGGGGAAGAGAGGGAGAGATTGAGATCTTAAATCCACTGGGGATCAGGCTGAAGCCAGGAGGCTGGAATTGCATTCAGATCTCCCACGTGGTGGCAGGACCTGCTTTCCCAGGCAGATTCCCAGGGAGCTGGATCATAAGCAGAGCAGCCGGGACTCAAACTAGCACCCTGCTATAGGATACTGGCATTGAAAGCAGCAGCTTAACCTGTTAAGCCACAGCACCCGACATACTCTTGAAATGCAATGTTTTCCCTTCCATAATCTGTAACTTTGAAAGAAAATTTACACTCAATAGATTATGGCTTCCCCATTTGTCAATTTTTTAAACAAAATGAGCCTAGTGTCAATTTATCGAATAATTACAGGGAGCCTGCTCCAGACCTGACAATACTTGAGGCACAAATTCTACTATTTCTACTCAAAAATATTTCTTTGAGTCATGCCTGCTGCAGTGAACCTAGTGTGATCCCAATCAAACTACCAACAGCATCCTTCTCATATCTAGGGAAAAAAATGATGCTAAAAATCATATGGAAACACAAGAGACTCCAAATAGCTAAAGAAATCTTACACAACAAAAACAAAGCCTGAGGCATCACAATACCAGATTTTAAGACATACTACAGGCAATTATAATTCAAACAGCCTGGTACTGGGAGAAGAATACACATGTGGACCAATGGCACAGAGACCCCAGAAATCAATCCAAGCATCTACAACCAACTAATCTTTGACAAATCAGCTAAAATCAATCCATGCAGAAGGGACATGTGGAAGTATGAAACAAGACCCCTATGTTATACCCTATACAAAAATCACTCACAATGGATCAAGGATCTAAGTCTAAGACCTGATACCACCAAATTACTAGAGGAAAATATAAGAGAAACCCTGCAAGACATTGGCTTAGACAAAGACTTCTTGAATAATACCCAAAAGCATACACAATAAAAGCAAAAATAGACAAATGGGATTACATCAAGTTAAGAGCTTCTACAACCAAAGGAAACCCTCAACAAAGTGAAGAGGCAACAAACAAACTGGGAGAAAATACTTGCAAATTATGCATCTAGTAAAGGATCAATTCCAAGATTATAGAAGGAGCTCAAGACACTCAACAACAAAACGAACAACCCAGTTAAGAAATGAGCAAAGGACATGAACAAGCATGTTTCAAGGGATGAAATACACATGGCCAACAGTCACATGAAAAAATGCTCAGGATAACAAGCCATCAGGGAAATGCTAATAAAAAACACAACAAGGTTTCACCTCATCCCAGTTAGAATGGCTATCATCCAAAAATCAAACAACTATAAATGCTGATGAGGCTGTGGGGTGAAAAGCACCCTAATACTCTAATGGTGGGAATGTTAACTAGTACAACTATTATGAAAGACAGTATTGAGATTCCTCAGAAACCTCAAAATGCATCTACCATGTGACCCAGTCATCACAGACCTGAGAATTTACCCAAAGGAAATGAAATCACATATTAAAGAGTTGCCTGTACCCCATGTTTATAGAAGCTCAATTCAAGAGAGTTAGGTTACGAAATCAACTCAAAAGTTCATCAATTAATAACTGAATAAAGAAATTGTATATATACAGGATGGAATACTACTTGGCCATAAAAAGAAATGAAATCTTTCCTGTGAAACAAAATGGATGCAACTGGAGACGATTATGCTTATCGAAATAAACTAGACTCAAAAAGACAAATATCTTGAGTTTTTTTCTAAAGATGTATTTATTTATTTGAAAGTTGGTTACAGAGAAATAAGGAAAGACAGAGAGATCTTCCATCTACTGGCTCACTACCCAGACAGCCGCAGTAGCCATGGCTGGCCCAGGTAGAAGCCAGCAGCCAGGAATTTCATCCGGGTCTCCTCTGTGGGTGGCAGGGGCCCAGACACTTGGGCCATCTTTCACAGCTTTTCCTAGGCCATTAGCAAGGAGCTGGATCAGAAGTGGAACAGCTGGGACATGGACCAGTGCCCATAAGGGATGCTGGTATCAGAGGCAGAAGCTTAACCCACAATGCCACAATGCTGGCCCCCAAATATTGTATGATTTCTCGGATTTGTAGTAGCTAATATACAGAGTACATACACACATACACACACAAAAAAAACTGAACGTATAGAAATGAAATTGACATGTTATGATTTGATTATCATTTATAGCCCTTGAGTATATTCCTGATGAATAGGGATCTTTCACTTGCTGAACATTATATTTAGTGTGGTATTGAGCCTGTGACTATAAAGTAAATTAAAAATATGTTATCACAGAAATAAAAAAAAGAAAGGAAGGAAATAGAAGGGAGAGAAGGAGAGAAGTATCCTTATGTTCTTAGAATTGTATCTTTGCAGTAGATGAAATCTGTCCTTGCTATACTAATAAAATATTTTTAAACAAGTAAAATTCTTAAAAAATCATTTAGCTATCTGAGTTGTGCCATTGTTTTAAAAAATCACTAATGAAACAGCAGACATTCTCTCTACCTTTTTTTTTTTTTTTTTTTGGACAGGCAGAGTGGACAGTGAGAGAGAGAGACAGAGAGAAAGGTCTTCCTTTGCCGTTGGTTCACCCTCCAATGGCCGCCGCGGCCGGCGCGCTGCGGCCGGCGCACCGCGCTGATCCGATGGCAGGAGCCAGGAGCCAGGTGCTTTTCCTGGTCTCTCTACCTTTTATCTAATCCTGGAGGTAGCACATTTGAAATGGCAGTTAAAGTCCTCTAATTATTATTATTTCAAATCTGGGATGAAAGGTATCACTTATTTCTGTTAGTATGATTGTGATACGTTTTCCACTTAAACAGCAGAAAATGTAACCTATTAAGTATCCAAACCAGCATTCTGCATCCCACTGCATTCTCTGAATCAGAATCATTTCATTTCTGTATCCCTGCTCAGTGAAGAAATAAAATGCATAACACCCAAGCTTTCTTCCAGCTCTTAGATTCTGTGATTTCTTTCTTTAAATAAAAAAGATTTATTTATTTGAAAGTCAGAGTTACACAGAGAGAAGAGGCAGAAAGAGAGAGTCGTCTTCCATCCGATGGTTCACTCCCCAATTAGCCGCCACAGCTGGAGCTGCGCCAATCCAAAGCCAGGAGCTAGGTCTTCTTCCAGGTCTCCCACATGAGTGCAGAGGCCCAAGGACTTGGACCATCCTCTACTGCTTTCCCAGGCCATAGCAGAAAGCTGGATCGGAAGTGGAGCAGCCAGGTCTCGAACCGGCACCTCAGGCCAGGGCATTAACCCGCTGTGCCATAGCACCGGCCCCAGATTCTGTGGTTTCTTTACTGTGAAATGCATCCTTATTTATTCAAAATGTATTAAAACAAGTATTTCAGTCAAAGCTTTAATCAATGTATTATATTACATCCTTAGTAGGACAATACATAAGAAATAAGATCCATTTTAATTTCAAAAATTTTTCAATTTTACTTATTTATTTGAAAGAGAAAGAGGTAGACAGACACAGACAGATGCAGAAAGAGCTCACATTCACTGATTCACTATCAAAATGTCTACAGTGGTTGGGGGAGAAAGCCAAAGCCAGGAGCCTGTAATTCAACTCCAGTCTCCTACATTGGTGGCAGGCACTCAGCCACTTGAGCCAGTACCTCTGACTCCCAGCCTTAGCAGGAAGCTGTAATCAGAAGCTGGAAGTAGGAACTGAAGCTGTTATTCCAGTGTGGGACATAGGCATCCCTGCTGGTAGCTTAATTCATTGGCCAAATGTCTGCCCCAAAAAATAATTCTTAAAGGATAGACATTTGATCAAAACATTGAACCAAAATTGGGACGATTGACATCTACTTCATTTAGGGATAATCTACATAAGCAAGTTAATTACCAATGAGACCTAACCTTTACTTATTTCTCACAGAGAAAATATAAAGATCCTGAAATGAATGTTAGAATGCTAGCTCTACAGAATAAAAACACAGACTCTGCCAATATCAGGGCCAAGACTAATATTATCTTCCCTCCCTTCATGCCCCGGCCCCTCACTCCACCAAATGGCTCATTTCCTTAAGAGACAATCATTCACGCATGCATGATTTTGCTCGAAAAATATTTAATAACCACCTGCTATGAATCTCATGCAAGGTGCTTACCTAATGCTGGTCCTTTTGGGGCTCTGCTCATTGCAATCAATCAAAGATCCAAGATACTTCAGAGCTTACCAACTCATGATGAGGACGTCTCAACAAGGCATTTTCCTGGTGCAGGGTTAAGCCAGGAGAATTCACTACTGTTGAAACAATATTTCCCATAAATTAGTCTCTGCTCACATTTTGTCTCCAAAGTAATGTGCTTGCCCAGTATTAACTTTAAGGGACAAATGGCTATAAATCCTCTAAGGAGCAAGTTAGGATACAGCAATGAGAACTATTGATGATCCATAGAAATGTCTATCACAATACTCAAATTTAGCTGCCCTGCAAACAAAAAAAAAAACATTTTGATATTTAATTATACCCAATATAACACTTTATGATGCAGCCTAATCAAAAAAGAACATGTCAAATGCTTTTTTTACATTTCCTACAGTTTTGTATACTTATGGGAAATATGACAATACAAGCAATAACTAATGAATTAACAAACAAGTAGTAAACATTTCATTGTTGACAAGGCACATAATTGCTCCAGTGAGATGAGTTTTTCTCCAACAAAGAATACCAAGACCAACATGAGGTCAAGTTGTGCTAATCAAGGTTGGCCCCATGCCTGTGCTGAGTAAATGGAGCATATGGAGTGAAATCAGGGAGATGAAACCTGTTTACCCACTGATCTGTCCTAACACTTTCCCTTCCTACAGGGCCTGAAATTCCCACCTCTGACCAGCCAATTTGTGACTCTCACCACAAATTAAAAATCTAAGGAGATTTACTTGGAAAGGACACAGTTAACACTATCAAAAATGATTATCAAATGACAGTTTTTTGAATAATGATGAAGTTTCTAAAAAGAAACAAAAAGGCAAATGTTAGCAACACAAATAGGCATGCATGGCAGGAACAGGAAAATCAGGACTACTTCTCAAGGCTAATCAGCCCACATTTAGATAATAAGCTTAGGGAACCCTATTTTTAAGAAAGTTGTCAATGTACCAAAGATTACTGAGGGAGGACCACTCCCCCTTCTCATGGATATCAAAAATTTTACTTAAAACATGCTTAGTTTTACTCAAGACTTTGATCCTTTTTTTTTTAGTCCACTTTTCTTTTTTTTGTTTTTTTTTTTTTTTTTTTTTTTTTTTTTTGCTTTCAAACTTTTATTTACTGAATATAAATTTCCAAAGTACAGCTTATGGATTACAAGACTTTGATCCTTTAAGGAAGGGTGGAAGCGAGGGTGGGAGGGAGAGTAGGGTGGGAATTGTCACTATGTTCCTAAATCTGTATATATGAAATTTGTTTGCCTTAAATATTTTTTAATGTACAAATAAAAAATACATAAACCCATAAATTGGACATCCTCCAAAATGTACAGGCATTACTGATTCCTTGATGTGAACATGGGTCACAGGTGAGAAGTGAATTTGGCCAAGAAGTTGAGATCAGCTACCTCAAGGGGAATGTCTGAGATTCTGAGTAGTAAAACAGCAAAGCATTGGGATGGCTGGGTACTGAACACACACCTTTGTCTTTGACTGAATCTGGGCTTTGATTATGTGTAGGTGCAGAGATAGAGGTTTGTAGCAGAGGTTAATTTTCTCCAAATTATACTCAGCTGGTGTAGTGCTGCCTGAAGGATTATGCTATAAAACCTATGGGAATAGGGAAGCCTCACTGAGGGCTGGATGAGGAGAATTCACTTAAGAAGGTGGTCTCTCCACTTTCACTCCTCATTCCTGTGCCACTGCCCACAGCTCCACTGTGACTTCACAGTTCCCCCACCAGTTGGTCCTTTTTCTGTCCATGTTCAATGCAACTCTCACTGGGCTCACGGAATCATTAAGTGTGATCTTTGGGAACAACAAGTTGAATTGTTCACTGAATTCTTTTTATTCTGAGGTAGTACTATAAAGAGTTCCCATATACCTCTCACCGCATTTACTCTGTTAACACCTCATATTAACATATTTGTGAGAATTAATGAACAATACTCAGATGTCCCTATACTGAATATCGATGCCATTCCCTACATCTAAATCATTTTCTTAATCATTTGCACATGTAATGACAGATTTCCTTTCAAGCATATCCCTGATCCAATCTAGTTGTAAGTGTTCTGTGCCGTGGAGCTCTGGTCACACAGTTGCCTTATTGACAGCCAATGTCATTCTGTGCAATGTTCTATTTGGGTTTCTCTATGCCCAACAGACAGTAAATATTTTTGCTGTTGCGTCATACTTTTAATAGACATTTATCACAAAGTATCAGCAGTTATGATAGTAACTAAATGCTTATTGTATGAGCAAAGGGTTAAACAAATTAATAAAATAGCTATCTCAACTTTTGTTCTTTCTCCCCTTCTAGTAAATGTGCTCTTCCTTATCCACTTTGTTATTATTCGAGAGTAGGAAATTCCTTTCTTCTGAAGCTAATTATTGCCCTTGCTACAGATTTCTACTCTTTAAACCCCTTTTTCATAGAATTCATAATCTTTGCATCTTCACTAGAGTTTGAATTTTTCTCCCATCAATTCACATTCTCAACCATCTCTAGTCATTAAAAACCAACCGGAGAAAAACAGATCTTCCAGACTTTCCCATACAATACATTTCTTGGATTAGGAAGGGAATGGAAACCCATGATTATGGATTTATCATTGTAACAGATATATTATTTTCAACAGGTCCCAAATGAGGAAGCTGGGCTAAGATCATTTAACTGTGGATGGAGAAAAGGGGACAACTTCAAGATACATTAAGCAATTTCACTTTCAGTTGGTAAGTAAATGTAACGTTCAACCTCACCATTCTTCCACTAAATTTTCCTTGCTCCTCTCCCTGACTACTTTGTCTTTTTACTCACACTCAATGTATGGGAAACTTTATCACTGTCTACTTTCCTACGGCCCCTTTACTTACGCTGCAGTCCACTGCACACTCTCTCTGCCCCACTACTCTGAGGACTTCCATGATTGCCCCTATGTCTTCTTTGTTAACTCAGCCAATGTATACTGTTCAATCCAAATGTATTGAAGTTTCTGCAATTTCAAATTTATTTTCTCTCTCTCTCTCCTCTTCTTTCTCTCTTTCTCTCTCTCATTCTCTCTCTCTTCCACCTCCGTCTCTCCTTCCCTCCCCCTCTCTCTCATCTATTTCCACTTGTTTGGTTGGATATGCCTTCCCAGCCTCCTAAGAGTGTTTCTTCCTCCACTCTTTGTTTCAATGGCAGAGTGCCTCAAAGCATGCCTATGTTCTTCTTACCACAGCAGAACTTCTTTGGGTATTCTCCTTTCATAGGATGTTGCTTCTCCTTTATGCTGCTGATGCTCAAATTTCTATTTCCAGCTGTGATTATTCCCAATGGAAGGCCATCTTTGTAGAATCTTTCACAGTCACCAACCCACAATAAATTTTGTGAAAACGAAACTAATTTCTACTCTGATACTACTTCTCATCAAGCCTTCATATCATGAGGAATCAGGCTAACAGAGTCATTAACATAAGGGTCATTGTGGATCTATTCCTCTCCCTCATCCTGAAATTTGATCTCTTGTTAAGACTTTGCCTACTCACTGGATTACTATCACAAGCTTTGTCTCTATCATCACTGCCACCATCTTCATTCTTTTATTAATTTTCTTTTCATTCATTGCAAGCATCTGGACCATTCCTTGTAGTGTGCCAGTATAACCTACCATGTATTTCTTCCTTGGACAAGACCCTAGCTCCATGAATAACAAGATGTGCTGGGATCTCTTTGAGCTCTTGTCCCTGCCAGTTCCTTCTCCTCACTCCTTGAAACCTCTACTGACCTCCATGACTGTCACCCCAGCTTTGCAACTGTCCCCAAATGTGTCTGCTGGTGCTCCCTACCAGCCTCTGTAGCAGAATTCACTGTTCTCTAAGGCTACCTCTTGTCCTGGATGATTCCTCTGTGTCCCTTAAGACTTCACTCAAGCATTTTGATGTCTCCCCTACATGTTTTCTCTACATGTCTCATCTCAGTCTAGTGTAAGAGCTGCTTGTACATTCCCTTCTTAGCTCCCTCGTAGGAACATCTGCTTCTACTACCACTGTTACCAAACTGCATTCTGAATGCCTGTTTATTCAGCTTTCATGTTTACATACCAGAATCTTTAAGTTCTCTTTTCTTACTTTTCCTTTGTATTTCTCAAACCTGGCACACTGACAGTTTTCAATGAGTAAATTTGAAGCTGAGCAGATGTTTGGTAGTAGACAATCTAGTGTAATCTAATTAAAACATCAAATGTCTGAATCTAATTGCTTTAATATAAATTCATTTCACTTATTCATTTAATATAAATTCACTTCAAAGTGTTGTTCGTCTGCAAACATCATTTTACTTAACTACTCTTTAGAGTGTGCCATCCAAACTAGCATCATATAATATTGATTCATAGCCCTCACAATTATCTTATGTACAGGGATGATATTCTGCTAAACTGCTATACACTTGCCCCTCAGTACACACAGGAATTGGTTCCAGGTCCCCCAACAGACACTAACATTGCATATGCTTAGAATCTTATATAAAACAGAATAGTATTTGCATGTAACCTAAGCACACTTTCTTCTATACTTTAAATAATTTCTAGAATACTTAATAATGTCTAGTACATTGTAAATTCTATCTGAATAGTATTTATACCGTATCACTTAGGAAATAATGATAAGAAAGAAAAGTTTACATACTTAGCAGAGATGCAACTTTTTGCTCTTGGCTATTTTTGATCTGCAGTTGGTTGAATCATGAAAGCAAAACACTCAGACAAGAAGGGTCAATTGTATATAAATCATTGCAATACCCTAGTCAGGAGGAAAAAGAGTCATGCAAGTAGCAAAATTTAGAAATACAAGGTTACACAATCACAGTTATAGAGAAAATTTTAAAATGTTGTATTTATTGCTTAATCCCTTGCAAATAAACTTTAAAACTGGAATGAAATGGAAGAATCTCTCCCCAAAAAAGTTTACATTATCAAAACTATCCTCAGACAAGATCCTTCATAGCTAGACACATCACTTGTCATTTAACAAAAATGACTGATAGATATTCCAAGAGATAACCCCTCTCAAAGCACTATCTAACCCAAACTATTTGCAGGGAAATATTAACAACTCAGCAAGGAGCAGGCATTTCCAATACTATTTAGCTTGTGTTATGTATAGGAAAAGAAGAAAAGAATTCAGATTATTTTTATGAAGCTACAAACATTTTGGTACAAATAAATGCACAATATGTGCTATTGTTTGGACATATTTTAGTACCTTAAATATCAAAGTCATAAATTATATGTTATTAAAGCATGTAAACTTGACCCAATAATGTTGTGCAAGTGGTGGGCTTGATAGGAAGCCCATGGATCACTGGGGACACACCCAAGAAAGGCAACTCTTACAAGAGGGCTGTTTATAAAAGCCGGTTTGGCCAAATCACTCTGCTTCCTGGTTCTCCGTGAGATCATTGCTCCACATGTATTGTACATTTACCATCCTCCAGCCTCACAAATGGGGACTTCCCAGTCTCAGAAGTAGAACTTCCAAAACTATATAAACTATATGCCAAAATAAGCCATCTTCCTTCATAAACATCTTCTTTTAGTATTTCATTATAGTGACAAAAAAACTGCCTAATACAAGACATAACAGCCAAGATAACACTATAGACCAAACTCACATATGAATAGGAATATAAAAAGTCTTAATAGTATTTTATCAAATTGAGTTAATGGCACATTATAATAACAAAAAATACTTAATGACTAAATGAGATTTATTTTAAGAACGCAAGAACAAGGGCAGATGTTTAGCTTACTTATTAAGACATCAGTTAAGATGCCACATTCCACATTGAAACATCCAGATTCATACTCAGCTCGGCTCCTGTTCTTATTGTCCTGCTAACACACTCCCTGGGAGGCAGGACATAATGGCTGAAGTAGTGGGGGCCCTGCAACTCACATGGGAGACCTGGATTTAGATCCTCACTCCCAGCTTCGTCAAGGCTCAGCACCAGATCTTATGTGCATTTGGGGCATGAAATAGCAGATGGAAATCTTTCTCTCTCTCTCTCTCTCTCTCTCTCTTTCTCCTGCTCTCTCTCTCTCTGATAAATAATTTTAAAGACTTAAAGAGTAGTTGAACATTAATATTAAAAACAGCATTCATGGGTCAAAGGAGGAAGAATATCATTATGATTGTTTCCTCATTTCCGAAAGAGGCTTTGATAACATTAATCACAATATTCTTTAACATGGATTTCTGATATTTTGAGGCATCTAAAAAATTAGAAATGATTGTTCTCTGAACTTTATGCTTCCCAAACCAAATTCCAGTACTATACTTGATGATTAAATACTAGTAGTATCTTCTATTATTAGAGACAGGAATAACAGTCTGTCTTGTTAATTACAAGCTAACAACTTTCGAAAATGCTAACAATAAGATATAGAAATAGAGGTAATGAACATCAGAAAGAAGCAGAAAAATTTTTTTGTTTGTCAATAATATAACAATAGAATGAACTGAAAAACTGTAAGAAGAAATAGAGGATTCAGTTGATATTACAAAATCAATAATAAAATCATAGAAAATAAAAATGATAAAGTCATATAAAATAAATATATATATAAGTATATTCTATTTATAAAACAACAGTAGTGAGAAAAACTATAGAAGAAAATATTTTATTTAAAATATAGGGCCGGCGCCGCAGCTCAATAGGCTAATCCTCCGCCTGCGGTGCTGGCACCCCCAGTTCTAGTCCTGGTCGGGAGGCCAGATTCTGTCCTGGTTGCTCCTCTTCCAGTCCAGCTCTCTGCTGTGGCCTGGGAATGCAGGGGAGGATGGCCCATGTCCTTAGGCCCTGCACCCACATGAGAGACCGGGGGAAGCACCTGGCTCCTGGCTTCCGATCAGCACCGTGCACTGGCCACAGTGGCCATTGCGGGGGAGGTAAACCAACGGAAAAGGAAGACCTTTCTCTCTGTCTGTCTCTCTCACTGTCCACTCTACCTGTCAAAAAAAAAAAAAAAAGAAAAAGAAAATATTTTACTTAAAATATAAAAATAAAATGAACAAAATATCCAATAAAGAATAAATTTAGGACTTATGCAAAAGCCCTCTAACAATATGAAAACTCTTCTGACATAAATAAAAGATGACATCAATAAACAAAAATAAATATCATACTGGAAGAATAAATGTATCCCAAACTACACTGAGGTATTTAATATTCTTGAGACAATGTTATACAAAGAAACATTCTTTGAAAAATTGAACTTATTTTAAAGTTCATATTGAAAAATAAATTGCAACAATACCCAGGAAATTTCTGATACAGATCAATACGGACAAAGCAGTCTTTCCAGGTAATAAAATGGTAATCAAACATTTTAGTACTGGTGGTAAAATAAACAACCAAAACAAGGTGCAGAGCACAAAATTCAGAAGTATCTCCAAAAATATATAGAAACTTAAAAGACTGTATGGTAAAGATGATACTGTTAATCTGTGAGGGAAAGATGAATTTATTCATTAAATGTTGTTGGGTTAAGTGATTGGATACTGGAGGGAAAGGCAATGCTTGTCTCTGTCATTCTTCATACCTGGTGAAATTTATTTTAATTCTAGATGCTTCAAACGTTTATTTGTAGAAATATAATAAGAATGAAATCATGGAAAGGTTTGCTTTTCAAAAAATGGAATAACCGTATCTTCCCCTTTTTCACTGATAAATACATGTAAAAAACTCTGGGTATTATCTATAAAGCAAACATTAGAAAATACTGAAATGTGGAGAGAAGGCAGATGAGTCATAGGCCTCACCATTCATGGGTTCCCTGGATTTCTTTTTGCTTTAAGTATCTGAGACCTGGAGCTGAGAACACAAAACTGACAACTGGAAATGATGGATGAAGATAAACACAAAGCCTGGTCTCTGTAGACAAAGAGCACAAGAGGGGCAGCCCAGGATACGGGAAATTTTACACTTGAAGCACTCGACTTCTACCAAATATCACAGGAAAAAAATTCTCTGGCCCAACTCCCACCCATTGCCACAAAGACCAGAGGGGAAATGCAGACTTCTGTAGCCAGGCAGCCGCTATCTACTTTGTGGGCCCACTGGGGGCACACGCGAGAGGTGGGTCTTCCACCCTGTAACAGTAATAACAATAACAAGCTGTCATATCCCCTCCTTTCTAGCATGGTGTCAGAGGAGCTGAGTGAGTGAAGAGTCGCCATTACCATGTGACCCAGTGGTACTGAGGCCACCCCAGCACTCTGTGGTGTCACTGCAAGTCATGTGGATGTGTAGTGAGTTACTCCTACTCTTCCCAGCCAGGGAGATATCAATGGAGATCTACTGGGTAGCTAGAACTCTACCAAAACTCAGTAGCAACTAAAAGCCCAACACCCAACATAAAAGATGTGGAATTACCTAAGCATTTTAAAGCAATCTTCTCAAATATGCTTCAGTGAGCAATTTACAAGCACATTTAAAAGAAATGAAAAAGTGAAAGTCTCAACACGCAGGTAATATATGTAAAAAAGAAGAAACAAGTGGGAATTTTAGAACAGAGAAATATAACCAGTACAAATCACAGTGGATGAGTTCAACAGCAGAACAAAGGGGCAGAGAAACTACCTGTGAACTCAAAGACAAAGCAATACAAGTCACGAAATCTGAAAAGAAAGAGAGAAAACTTATTAAAAAAATAATAAGCATCTCAGGTTAGGCATTTGACTTAGTGATAAAAATGCCTGCATCCTATCTCAGAGTGCCTGGGTTCAATTCCCAGCTCCAGCTCCCAATTCCAGCCTCCTGCTAAGGAGAACCATGAGAGGCAGCAGTGACAGCTTATGTAGCAGAGTTCTTCCAACCACATGTGGAACTGGGTTGTGTTCCCAGCTCCTGACTTCAGCCACCCCAGTAAAGATTTTTGCAGTTACCTGCAAGGATTTGGGGAGTGAATTTAGATAGGATCTCAACCTCCTCCTACCCTCTCCCTCTGCCTCTCAAATATATTTTTAAAAAAAGAGTTTTAAGACTATGAATCTGCGTAACAAAAGATTTAAAATTCATGATAACTGACTGGTCAAACAGTAAAATCTGAGATCCAAATGCAGTTTTCTGCTACTGCTTTTTTGTTTTCCCCCGTCCTTGGACTCAAAGAAAGATGAATTATATGCTTCTGGGTCTCCTAAATACATCAGTCTCAAAGCAAATAAAGAGAATTTTCTATTCATGGCTTTATTTGAAAGTTGAGGACATGTCTTTCCCAAAAGCTACAAATAAGCTTTCTTTCACATTTCACTAGGCCGAGTTTCTCTGAACGCCTAGAGAATGCCTTGTGAAGACTGACATCAGTCTGGGTTTTCTAAACCAATCTTTATTTCAAAGCGGGAGAATTATTTCAGTACCAGCCTGGCACTCTGGTGAAGCAAATCTCACCCAGTGTTATGGGACTCAGCGTGGCCTCTGCCAATCAAATGTCAGTGAAGTCCTGCCCTTACGGTAACAAATGAGGGCTAAGTTAATCGTTACTGTCTTGAGGTCATCCTCCTCTTTTCTGGGCAACATGTGCGAATGGGTTGTTTGTTCCCAGCCTCTGATTTCTGAGAATTTCAAGCCAGGTGGGAAGGAAGGGCAGCACTGAACACTTTGGTGACAAACTCAGCATTCCTTCTTTTGTCTTCTTCCTATACTTTAAGAGTATATATTTCAATAAAGTTCTCCAATTAAACAGACTTTGCCATGCACACTACCTGCAAGTTTAGTTTAGCCATAAAATGCTTGCAACATCTCATTACAGTCTGTGCAGAAGAAAGCTCCCATTAGACTGCAAGCTACTGAGAGGCTGAGTGGGCAGCTCAGGGGCCCTTGTCTCACATGTGCATGCCCTGGTCACAGTCACAGCTTCTGACTCCACAGCAAAGAGCATTCTGTATATTAAAAATCATGCTTGACTCCCCAAGGAAAAACTTCTAAGAAGTATGACTAACCTAATCACATATAATTGGTATGTTTTGGATTCATAAAATTAGACTAACTTTCAAATTAATAGTATGTTTACCATACATCCAAAATTTTTGATTAGCTGATAGCATCATTCATGAAGATGATTTTAATTCAAAATTGTTATAAACATGTTATTAAAATTATAGTTAAAATGTAGCTACTCTATTTTAATCCTTTAAACAGAAGTACTTTAATAGAGGTGCTTCCTGTAAGGATGCCATCGTCACTTTTTGATACATGGCAGAAGAAAAATTTTCCTGTTGTTATATAACATAGCAATTCATGAAATAACCATCAGAGGGTCCCGAAATATGAACTTCTGAGACAACGTAATTAACACTCGTTAATAGGAAATTTTATGACTTCTCCCTGCAAATCCTTAGAGTACAAGGAGATTATTAGGAATTATTCTGTCTGAAACTCAGGCAACTTGTAACTTGCAGACTTCGTAGAGCGTCAAGGTCCTCTATGAATAATAATAATAATAATCTCTGCCATAAGGAAACTCTTGGAAGTCATCAGGTAATGCTATGGTATCAGTAGTCTGACGCCAAATGCAGGATCAATTCTAGTAATCCTTCTGCCATTGAATCACTGTGTTGCTCTGACCATCTTTCTCTTTGTGGGCTTAACATATTAAGCAGCTAGTCATAGATACTTTCCACCACAGTGACACTGCAGGGGAACCAGCAGCCTGGGAATCCAGTACCCATCTAATCCAAAAGTCTCATGCCGGGAGCACTAGCAATGACAAGAGAAAATTTTCTGAAATGTTTGCTTATGGACAACTAATATGCCAATGAAAGCTGCATAAGGAAAATATTCAATTATTAATGAAATGCAATTCAAACCAGTGGATTAATTTTACACAGCATACAGAGAAATAACATCACACCACTGAGTGTTGTCATAAAAATGTATACACAGACACCAACAGTACATCTAAATTTCCCATCAGATCTAAAAAGATATCTGGATCTATCTTAAGCTGCACAGACACTGATGACATCCAAAGAGGAATTCAATAGAGCTTTGTGTTGAGCTGTGTAACCCTCTGGCAAAATACTTTACCTGGATTCAAAGTGACAAATTATCTGTCTCACAGCCGCCCATAATGTGTCTGAAAGAAAATATAGCTTCCAAAGCAGCCATGTTGTTATAATTGATAAGTGGATAGGTTCATACATTCAGCAAATATTACCTGTTATGGGAAATGTAGCTGGCTTTTGACCAATCTAAAAGTGGTTCTGGTGGTCATTACTCAACAATTATTTATTGAGCACTTGCTGTGTACAATGTTTCTGACACTGAAGATACAGAGATAGAACAGAGAGCACAGCTATCCAGAGGAAATTTATACCTTCATCACTATAATATACACACCAGGCTAATATACACAGAAACTAATTAAAGCAATTGATCACTTTAGACATTAGTAAGAGTTATGCATAAGGATAATTTATACAGAGACATGGCAAAAGAGAAGTCCTCCCTGAGGGGTGACACCTGTTTGCTAAAGCAGAGGGGATAGTTTTGATGGGGACCTAACTGGCCAACATCCCAAAGGAGAATAAGTTACAAAGCAGGTCCCAAAACTAGAATAAGCTTCTAAGTAAGCCTCATATAAAAACCTCATCTGTTATGTGAACTGCTTTCAACTATGGGACTTAACTGGTTCCCACGACTACCTGAGGCAAGCACATTATCATCACTATTCAATCTGGGAGAAAGTTGAAGCTAACAGGCAAGTTTCTCAAGACCACATATAAATATCTAACGTAGCCTAACTGTAAAATGGGCCTTCTCATCTCAAACCCTGCACCACATGTTAGTTTTCACAGATGCCCAGGCTGTAGTTGGTTAAGAAAAAACCCAAAACATGTGTATAGCTTTCTTGAGTCATTCTTGTTATTGTAAATTCTACAGGAACACAGGTATTTCCTTCAAATCTCCATCCAAGAAAGAAATAATAATCATTTGGGTTCTTCAAGACACCATCCAAATCCTTGAGGTGAGGGACGGCCGCTGGGCTATAAAGAGCCCCCTGGGGCCAACGCCATGGCTCACTTGGTTAATCCTCTGCCTGCGGAGCTGTCATCCCATATGGAAGCCAGGTTCTAGTCCCGGTTGCTCCTCTTCCAGTCCAGCCTTCTGCTGTGGCCCGGGAGGGCAACTGGCTCCTGGCTTTGGATCAGTGCAGTGCTGGCCGTAGCAGCCTTTGGGGGAGTGAACCAACAGAAGACCTTTCTCTCTGTCTCTCTCTCTCACTGTCTATAACTCTACCTGTCAAATAAAAAAAAGAGCCCCCTGAGAGAACTGGTATATCATTGAATTTATTGCCTATTAAAGGATAGCCATTATTCTGCCTGTGGAAAAAGGGGGATAATAATTGAGAAATGAGAGGAAGAAATTTTGAGGCTTAAATTCCCAGATGGCAAGACAGATATCACAGACCCAAAGAAAATGGCCACTACTGGAATCCTTCCAAGTTATTCTTAGGTGATAATTAGCCCTGGACGCAGCAGAATTGTTGAGCACAGATTTTTGGTTTACATTCACTTGTCTGGGAATCCATCTTGATGAAAATGTTCAGAAAAAAAAAAAAACATTAATAGAGAGAGAAAAGAAACAAAATAAATGCAAAATTGTCATTCTTATAATAAGGCACTTAACTGGTACTGGGAAGTAAATAGCATTCTTTGCTTTTTTGGTTCTATGAAAAAATTTGCTTTTCTAATTTGCATTTTGGACATGAATTGAGGTAAGTACAAAGAGATATACCCTCTCTTGTCAACCAGCTACTTCCGAAGGAAACCTACATGTAAGGCTGTGTCATCCTAAAACATCATGACTTTCATGTGGGAGTATATTTGAAGGTGAAATAGTAGTGCCAAAGAGGGATTATACCCTTTAGAATCTAAAAGGATTATTTAAGTTTAAATTCATGGAAAAGAAGTTTAAAATTCATATTCCCAGTCATTCAAGATGTGTTTCCAGGACTCAGTAGCCACAGGTGCCCCATGACTCCTGCATTGGAAGGCACAGAAAAAAAAACATTTCTATCATCTCAGAATGCCCCGTGGGACACTATGGGAGCACACGGCACTTGCCCAGTGCCAGAAACCCTACATCCTCTTTCCCCATGGACTCTCATATGCTTCATGTTTCTCACTTCCCAAATCTTCTTGTGCCAACCTTCATCCTGCTCTAATTTTGACTTCCTATCTTCAGTCTCTTCGCCATGCTGGTCATAGCTTAGAAATTTAGTTATAGAGTTGAATTTAGTTAACATTTGTTCCAACAGCAGTATGTTGCAAATGAGGAAATGCTGGCCTGTTGTGATAAAATACACTCATTCAGTCAACAAATATTTAGTTAGTGCCTGTGTATTCTAAGCAACAAAGACCACGTGACAACCTTTGTGAGGCTTAAAATCTAGTTCAGAGATAGACAATAAACAGTAAACAAGCAACTCATAAGGCCAGGAAGGAAAAACATTGCAGGTCAGAAGGACACAGGGAGGAGTCAGGCAAAAAAAGAGGAAGGTGGGAGTTGTAGGTCTAGCTCCTTCTTGGAGGGAGACCAGGAAAACTTCTATGGGGAAGTGAGAATTAAAACAAGGCCAGAAAATGAGAAACAGCCAAGTGAAGGTCGCAGGTAAGAACATTCCAAGCACATTCCAAATGGCAAGCATAATGTCCATAGAGCCAGAACATGATGGTGTATCCAAGAAAGAGAAGAGCAGAGTTTCTAGAGAAACACAGGAAGGGGAGGGAAGAAGTGAAGGGAGATGAGGTCTGAGAATTCTCCAAGGACCAGATCCTTTAGAGTCATGGATTGGTTATCCAGGTTCAGCTGGACTGTCTGTTTCAGAGACTCTCAGACAGTGAATCTACTGCCTGTGGTCTCCTCTTTCCTCCACCTACTGCCTCCCTCTGTCCCAGAAGTCAAGATGATGCCAGTGCTAGAATCATTTAAAGGCTCAACACAGCTATAGAAGATCCACTTCAAAGCTCCTTCTGTGGTTATTACCAAGATTCAAGTTCTTTGTGGTTGTGGAACTGAGGGCTTCAGTTCCTTACTGACTGTTAGTCAGAAGTCACCCTCAGTTCCTTGTCTTGTTGACCTCTCCAACATGACATCTTCCTTAAAGCACACAATTGTAAAGTAAAAAGTCCTTGAGCAAGACGGAAGTCATGGCCTCATGTAACCTAGTCACAGAAGTGAAATACCATATCTCTTCCTTATTCTGTACAGAACAGCAAATGTCAAAGTCTAGCTCACACACCAGTTGTGGGGGTTACACAGAAGCATGAATAAAAGAAGGTAGTGATCATTGGCAGTCATCATAGGCATCTACCTAACATAATTCACACCACTCATGATAAGGAATTGGAACTTTACCTTCAAGGTGGTTGGAAGACCTTGAGAATTGTCAGTCAGGGAAATTATATAAATTGATCTTCAATTCAGGATCTGACTTTTACGATGAGATACCATGGACCACTGTGGAAATAGTGAAATGATTAAAAAAAAAACTATTACAGTTGCTCCTGTGAAAAGTGATAGCACTTTGAAGCCATTGAAATGTCCGATGTGAGATTTATTTTAAAGATAGAACCTACAGGATTTGCTGATGAGTTGGATATGATGAATGAGAGAAAACAACCAAAACTCTAACCAAAAAAGTATAAAATTAGTAGATCAATCTCCTCCAAAAGATTTCTCTGGACAATCTGCCAAGCGTATGCTTCCACTTTCTCTTTCTTCTCAAATCTTTTTTGACACTTCTCTGATGATCTTCACAGTCAAAACATTCTATTGATGCCTAGAAAAATCTAGAATTTCCAGGAAGTCAGAGTGCTAAAAGCTATAGGGAAGATGAGGTGTAAAATATAGTTGTCATTATTTATTACCAAAATATATAATACTCTTTGGAGGTGAGCATTTAGCTTAGTGGTTAAGATGCCTACATCCCGTATCAGAGTAGTTGAGTTTGCTACCTGGCTCCAACACCTGACTGCAGCTTCCTGCTAAGGCAGATTCTGAGTGGTAGCAGATGATAATTCAAGCAGTAGGGTAACTGTCACCCTCTTGGGAGACCTATATCAAGTTCCCACTTCTGGCTTTGTTCTGGCTCAGTTCCAGAATGAGACAGCTGGTGGGAAAATGTCCTCTCTCTCTCTCCCGCCTCTCTGCCCACCCCCCCTCCATCTCTCCCTCCCTCCCTTTCCTCAGTAAACACTTTGTCTTTCAAATAAATAACATCTTTTCAATGTAATGCTGTCTTTTAAAGATTATGTCCCAGTTTGCAATATCCCTCAGCAGATTTATCCTGTCCTCATCATTCCTATTTTTATGTGAAAATGAAAATATTTTTCATTTTTTAATTAAGCACAAAATGATAATAAAGATAAAGAAGAAATTTACTTCTGAAGACTGTTGGAGACTGGCTTTACATTTTTAATATTTGGACTTCAGTTATAAAATACTGTACAGTGAAATCAAAGAGCAGATATTAGCTGTGATTTAGGTAGTTGTGCCTGACTTACAACAGATACTGCCTCTGAAACTTCAGAGGATCAACAGGGCAGGGTACATATTTTTATGGGCCTTCTTGATTCATTTTAGATATTATCTTCAGCTTAATCTGTGGGCAGACAAATATCCAACAAAAAAACTCAAGTACACCATGGTTAATACTGAGCAATGGAGCAGTGTTTTATTTTTTTTGGGGGGGGGGGGTTAATAATTAACCCAGATTGCTTGATGACTAAAGCAAGTGATGCCATCTTTGCCCTCAGCAAATTGATAAGATTTCACTTTGGAACTGGCTTACTTCTACTTCATGCCTCTCATGTATGCCTCTCACCCACTCCCTAACACAAGGGTCTTTCTTCCAAGTACATTTCTTATTGGTAATAGGATCTCCCAGAGAAACTCAGCTTTGAAACACAGAAATCATTCATTCTTGCTGTTAGCCGAAAAGGCATCCTATACCTTCCATTGCATAAGAATCACAGGTCTGGCCGGCGCCGCGGCTCACTAGACTACTCCTCCGCCTTGCGGTGCCTGCACACCGGGTTCTAGTCCCGGTCAGGGCGCCAGATTCTGTCCCGGTTGCCCCTCTTCCAGGCCAGCTCTCTGCTGTGGCCCGGGGAGTGCAGTGGAGGATGGCCCAAGTACTTGGGCCCTGCACCCCATGGGAGACCAGGATAAGTACCTGGCTCCTGCCTTCGGATCAGCGCGGTGCTCCGGCCGCAGCGCACTGGCCGTGGCGGCCATTGGAGGGTGAAACAATGGCAAAAAGAAGACCTTTCTTTCTGTCTCTCTCTCACTGTCCACTCTGCCTGTCAAAAAAAAAAAAAAAAAAAAGAATCACAGGTCATGGAAAGCCAAGACATTGTGGGAAAAAAAAAATGACCTAAATGAAAGATCTCTGTGAGTGAGATCCCAGAGGAAAGAACGGGCCATCAAAGAAGGAGGTACCTTTCTCTGAAGGGAGGAGAGAACTTCCACTTAGAATATGGCCTTGTCTAAATAAGATCAGAGTTGGTGAACTGAAGAGGCTACCACAGCCTTGGGAGCTCATGACAAGAACCTCAGGTGATTACTGATGTCATAAATAAGAGTGTCAATTATTAAATCGACAATGGGAGTCACTGTACACCTGCTCTCCATGTAGGATCTCTGTCCTTAATGTGTTGTACTAGGAGAATTAATGGTAAAACTACTATTCAAACAGTACTTTATATTTTGTGTGTCTTTGTGGGTGCAGTCTGTTGAAATACTAAGTTGATCTTCTGTATATAAAGATAATTGAAAATGAATCATGATGAAGAATGGGATGAAAGAGGGAGCGGGAGATGGGATGGTTGCAGGTGGGAGGGAGGTTAAGGGGGAAAAGCTGCTATAATTCAAAAGTTGTACTTTGGAAATTTATATCTACTAAATAAAATTTGAAAAGAAAAGAAAAAAAATCACATGTCAGGGCCAGTGTTGTGGCACAGTGGGTAAATCCACCTCCTGCAGTGCTGGCATCCCATATGGGCGCTGATTCAAGTCCCAGCTGTTCCACTTCTTATCCAGCTCTCTATTATGGCCTGGGAAAGCAGTGCAAGATGGCCCAAGTCCTTAGGCCCCTGCACCCGTGTGGAAGACCCGGAAGAGGCTCCTGGCTTCAGATCGGCGCAGCTCCAGCCATTGCAGCCGATTGGGGAGTGAAGCAGCAGATGGAAGACCTGTCTCTCTTTCTGCCTCTCCTTCTCTCTGTGTGTAACACTGACTTTCAAATAAATAAATAAATCTTTAAAAAAAACACACAGAATAATATGTCATATTTCAACCTCTGGGACCATGGCCATGTTTATTCTACAAAAAATCAAACTCAGCCCCATAACAAGACAGCGCATTTTTTTTAACTCTCTTATCGCTCCAGAAAAAGATGTCAAACCCCTCCCATAATCCCTTCTGGAAGTCTCAAAAAGATGTCAGCATCTTTCCTAGGATAAAGAGAATAGGAAGAGCAAAGTGGGAGCCACGCAGTAAAGAGGGAAATGTGCAGTAAAGAGGGAAACAGTGATTTCAGATTTTGCCTTCAAGTGCCTATCTTGAGCTCTGTCCACTCAGCTGAAATGTTGCCAGTTCTGAACTGTCTTCCAGCCCAGGGTGCACTTATGGACAAGAAGTTCAAACACAGATTATGTGATGTCCCCAAAGCCACACAGGGGAAAATCTGAACAGTGACACAGACCTCCTGCCAGCCAGGCTTGGGTTTCTCGTGGAGACTGAGGACTACTGTATAGGGGCCCTCTGTATATGGACAGTCCCCCTGGAGCGAGTATTTGACATAGCAGTTAAGATGCCACTTGGGGCAGGCACAGTGGCTCACTTGGTTAATCCTCTGCCTGTGGCGCCAGCACCTAGGGTTCTAGTCCTGGTTTGGGTGCTAGGTACTAGTCCCGGTTGTTCCTCTTCCAGTCCAGCTCTCTGCTGTGGCCCAGGAGGGCAGCAGAGGATAGCCCAAGTGCTTGGGTCCCTGCACCCACATGGGGGACCAGGAGGAAGTACCCAGCTCCTGGCTTCAGATTGGCGCAACGCCAGCCATAGCGGCCATTTGGGGAGTGAATCAACAGAAGGAAGACCTTTCTTCTCTCTCTCACTGTTTATAACTCTCTCTCTGTCTCTCTCTCACTGTCTAACTCTGCCTGACAAAAAAATAAAAAAAAAAAAAAGATGCCACTTGGAACGCTGACGTCCCACATGGGAGTGAGTGGGTTCCAGTCCTGGCTCTGCTTCCAATTCCAGCTTTCTGCTAATGTGCAACTTGGGAGGCAACAGTAATGGCTTGAGTAGTTCAGTTCCTGCCATCCACATGGCTGTTTCAGACATTTGGTGATCTCTCTCTCTCTCTCTCTCTCTCTCTCTCTCTCTTTCTCTCTGTGTGTGTGTGCATGTGTGTGTGTGTGTTTGTCTTTCAAATAAATAAGTCATTAACAAAAAGAACAAATACAATCACCTTCAAACGAACACCAGAAAAAGTGCCTAAATTACACACAAACTAATTTTATATTGGATTCCCTTAAAACAAATCAAATGTGTTTCTCCTGTGAGTCATATCATACTAAATACCTATCATAAAGTTTCATCCTGGACCTAGTGCTTGATATGGCCAAGGAGAAGATTCCAGTACTACTTATTGCATTGCTCAAAAACCATTGACAACATGCACAAGTGCTAAATTAGAATCAATGTCAAGAAAATACCTCAATCTATTTCCTGTCCACTGAGCAATCACTTTTCCCAGAACTGTCATAACTGTCAAAATACTTGCTGCATGCCAGTCTCCAGGTCAAGCTCACTGGGAACTGAAGCCCACCTGTCAAAAAGCAAAGTGAGCATAAAAGCATATATCAGCAGCATTGCAAACTATCCCCCCTTGTTTGGTTTAGTTTGGTTGGGGAAGGTGTGGCCACTGGTGGTATCTGTACAAGATTTTAAGATCTCTGAGCACAAGAGAAAGCCATAATATATTTTTTGTATACCATTCATTGTACTCATCTCAAGATTAGTGCTCACTGCATAATTTTTGAATGAATCTGTCCTACTCCTCAGTTTCTATAGCAGTGCTACCGTTAACATTGCGTGATTTCCAGCACTGTAGCCACTGCATCTGTCTCCCAATGTCTTAAATTCACAGACTCAGGAAGGCCCACCTGGCTGAAATCCTTGACATTGTGTTCTTGATATCAAGTCCTTGCCTGTCTTCTGGTGAACCCAAGTTACCACTGTGTTCAAGAATCTCTACATCAACTGCCTGGCTGCCTGTCAGCAATTACAAATTTAGTTCCTGATCTGATCAGATCAAACTGTAGTACATCTAGTTCTTCCTTATATTGCCCCAGTCTCCTTGATCACTCAACCTTGCTCTCTGTCTGTCATTTTTGTTCTTGTTCTACCAACTTGATTTAAAACCCATTCTCTCATGATGCTTAGTCTTCTTACTTGGCTTTTGTTATCACTCCAGGCATGACATTTTCATAATCACCTTCACAGCCAGGATCTCTTATCTCAGGCTGGGTCCTCCCCTCCTGACAGGGCTCTCTGAGATTAGCTCACCATCCATCAGTTCTGGGAGACAAAGGAACCCATATTCTTTCTGCAGCCTCTGCCCCTCAGGAGGGGTTGGTCTCCCACCTGCTACTTTCCTCCTCAATGTCATTTCTCTGTGCTTCACAACCCTCCATGAGTCTGACTTTCTTCCAAGGTCTTTTTAAACCAACTTCTGCTACTTCTTGTCTGAATTTTAACCAAGGAAAATTGTATCAAAAATTTTAACCAAAAAAATTTAAAAGTCAAATAGCCCCATTCACTGGATATTTAAGAAAACCAGTGGCTCAATTTGCACAATTAATAGTAAAAAAAAAAAAATCTCATGGTCTTCTGCCAGTCACTGTTTACCTACAGGGAAAAGAAAAAAATGGCAGTCTATTTTTTATTCTATAAATGTTTTTCTGTAAAGAGTACATATACAATGCATTTAATGACTCATGATGTGTAGAATTTTTCACTGACTTACCTGTACACTAAGAAAGGTCTCTAAGAATTTCAAATTTTATATTCATTATAGAGCAGAAACATTAACCTGAATATAGTCTTTCAAGATACTAATGTATTTATTTATTTGCTTATTTATTTTTACATGTAGCACAGTCCACAACAGATAAGAATGAAATTATTCTCAGTTAATTTTCAGATCACGCCATAAAATGTCATGTATGGGTATTGTGTTTCTCTGTGCATTGTTCAAAAGCTGCTCTAGTGGTCTGGAAGAGGCAAAAGATATCTCCCAGTGAACAATCTCATTCCTCATGGGGAAAGCTCTACCCATCTAATAGCTACTTCAAGATGCTGAAGATACATTACCACAGACTGCAATTACTCTGCGACTCCCAATTTGAATTGAAGTATCATCTCTCAGGGGTGTAATCCTAGGGTTACATTTCCCTTTCCAGGAGCACTAACCATCTTTTTTGACTATTAAGGCTGCTTCAGGCAATCTCAGACAATCAAAGTTCCTCTTCATCTTTAAGTAAATAAAATTGTCTTTAAAAATGTGCTATTTGAAATCACAAACAGTAACCCACAGTGATAATAAGAGGAAATCAGCCACACAAAAAATAATAATTATGGTCAAATGTTGAATAAAGATCTCCTTAATTAACTTGTAGAAGCCCTTAAAATATCATACCTTTATGGCACTAAAATAAGTATTATAGGAATATATCTGTGATTCTTTAAAAACTTTGAATACACTTTTATAAACCAACAATGCTGTCTTCATGCAATATGTCTAACATACTGTCTGAAATTAATGTCCCAAATGTGTTCACGCCTTTTTAAATCCAGAGGACAAAAGTTCCAGGCCTCAATCGTCCTGCTGGATTTTCTGACTTGATCCATGCTCATCGTTCCCTGCAAAAAAGACCATGGAAGATTCTGACCCTACATGGGGTGTGTACAACACCATGATATTTGGAGTCTCAGAGCTGGACACATACATTAAATGCAACTTGGCATCTTTCTTTTGCTCCTAAGTCAAATATCAAATTTACAGGGTAGAAGATAAATATCTCCTCTATTTTAAAGTCTCTCCTTTATTTCTTCTATCTCCCCACCTACAATAAAGTTTAATCAATTCTGTTAAAAGGAAAAAAATAACTAATAGCTCTCAAAACTGCATTACTGGAAATGATCACCTTTTCCAAGATAGACCATCTATCATAGGGGCAGGTGTTCTACTTGTGTTTGTTATGGTGAAGATTTGGATAATTTCATGTGTTCCCAGTCCCTTGTAACTAAGAGTTTACTTGAATAATGCTATTTTTCTCTGATCACACTGACAGTTCTTGAGGCTGGGTGACCATGCTCTTTCACCTGGCTTCCTACACCATCTTAACCACTTTCCTAGGCTCTAGTTTTGCCCCCAAGTCAAACCAAGACACTCATTCTCTATACTTCAGGAAAGATGAACACTTCAAAATCATTAGTAAACTTATTGGGCCTTTCAGATCCTAATCCCTACTCACACTAGCATCCTCATCTCTCCACATTCCCTTAATTCAAGCCCTAGAAATGTTGCATTTATTTATTTATTTATTTTGACAGGCAGAGTGGACAGTGAGAAAGAGAGACAGAGAGAAAGGTCTTCTTTTACCGTTGGTTCACCCTCCAATGGCTGCTGCGGCTGTCGCATCGCGCTGATCCAAAGCCAGGAGCCAGGTACTTTTCCTGGTCTCCCATGAGGGTGCAGGGCTCAAGGACTTGGGCCATACTCCACTGCATTTCCAGGCCATAGCAGAGAGCTGGACTGGAAGAGGGCCAACTGGGACAGAATCCGGCGCCCCCACCAGGACTAGAACCCGGTGTGCTGGTGCCGCAGGCGGAGGATTAGCCTATTGAGCCGTGGCGCCGGCCAGAAATGTTGCATTTAAATATTGTATTTGAATTCAAAAATATTTCTGATTTGTCACATATTCCATCATATACTTTTGAGAAGACCACATTTTGAGAAGCACATCCATGTGAGAACAGCAAAATAAAAGTTGAGAGGGCAGATCTGATCCTGAAGCCTGGACAAATGACATGACGTGGATAAGAGATAAGAGCAGACCCTTGCCTCCATAAATGCTCTTAGGAGGGCTGAGCAAACATTGCACCATGCTGCATTCCCAGGGAGATGTGAACCCCATCATAATCAACATGGAAACTTGGATCTATGATGAATGGATGGTGCTTTGCAATGGTGAGAGGGAAGCTTGGTTTTCCAGACAAACACATCAAATGGTTCTGCCATGGGAAACACTAGAGAATCCATGCAGAGCGAAAAATGCAGATGTATGTGATAACTTATTCATTCAACAGTGACATGATCTGAATCAGATAATGACCTCCAAACCACTAGAAGCATCTCACAGGGAAAGCAGGCCATTTCAGTCTTGCACAAAATGAGGCTGTAGCAGAAGTGGGAACAACTAGGAGAAACAACACATTCGTGTATCTTCATTTTGTCCAATGATAACATGAGAGAGTTTGTGAATGTTATCTTCCTCTTGGTCTATGGAAGAACATAGTGTATAAGAAAGAAGAGGAATCAGAATTCTACTGGTATATGAAGGTAATTGAAAATGAAACGTGATGAAGGGCGGGATGGGAGAGGGAGTGGGAGAGGGGAGGGCCACGGGAGGGAGGGAGGTTGTGGGGGGAAGCCACAACAATACAAAAGTTGCATTTTATATTCTACTTAAAACTAGTGGTTGAACTCTGTAATTAATACACAATTACTCTTGGTGTTTAATTAATGCTATAACTAGTAGTCAAATAGTATTTTACACTTTGTGTTTCTGTGTGGGAGCAAAATGTGGAAATCTTTACTTAATATATGCTAAATTGATCTTCTGTATATAAAGATAATTGAAAATCTTGATGTGAAGGGAAGGAGAGAGGGAGTGGGAGAGGGGAGCGTTGTGGGTGGGAGGGAAGTTATGGGGGGGAAGGAAGCTATTGTAATCCATAAGCTGTACTTTGGAAATTTATGCTCATTAAATTAAAAAAAAAAAAAAGAATTCTACTGGTGAGCTCAGCTCAGCCTTCCCTTTACTATTCCTCCCTACCCCCTTTACTCTATCCTTTCTGATTTGTGAAGTGCCTCTCCACAAGTTCATACCATAAATGTGCAAACTTCTGTATTAGCTCTGCTTCATCTGGTGGCATGTTTTCTGGGAGAATACGCATCATGTATATATACACAAAATTTATAATGTTACAGATGCAAAAGGGATATATAGCACACAAATTACATAAATTATAAAACATGCAATATTCCTTTTACATCACATAACCAATTGATTCTCAGAGAATACTTACTTTGTTTTTTGCTGAACTCAACTATTCTTAGCTAGACTATGTCTGTAAGTCAATCATGATTTCATAAAATTAGCCTGAATCAACGTCGCGTTATTGTCTAATACAGAAGTTACTCATATCACTGACAAACTAATATAATCTGAAATAAGCATTAGTTAATATTCTCATTGACATTGGGTAAGAATGAAGATGTATGTGATAACTTCGTTCATTCAACAGTGACATGAGCTGAATCAGATGATGACTTCCAAATATTGGAAGAACATTTTGGGTTCTATTCAAATGTGATGGTTACAGAAATGGCACATGTTTAAGTTTGATCTGTTTTATTAACATTTTCTCCATCATGTTCTTAAGTCTACCTATTCAACCAACCAAAAAAATAAAACCTTGCCAAAGTGAGGGGAGGGAGGGAAAATTAATCAATTTCTGTGGTGTAATCACTCCCACCATGAACATTTTCAAGCCCCCACTGCAATATCACTGTGTACACAGGTTAAAAGGTAAGCACAGTACACACACCGTGGTACATTATTTCTATTAGAGAGACACAATAAAGAACCTAAGGAAGATAAATAATAGTAAAATGATTAGGAGATGATGAATTTTGAGTATGTATTAACCTTATTTTCAATATAGTTTATCATTGGTAAGTTTATATAATTTGATTTTTAATAAAACCCATGTTTAGTAATAAGGTGGCAAAATTTCTTAATTATTTATCATTCTTTGAAATACAAAGATGGGGGCAGCGCTGTGACATAGTGGGTAAAGCCACCACCTGCAGGGCCAGCATCCCGTATAGGTTCTGGTTCAAGTCCTGGCTGCTCCACTTCCAATCCAGCTCTCTGCTGTGCCCTGGGAAAGCAGTAGAAGATGGCCTAAGTCCTTGGGCCCCTGTACCTGCATGAAAGACCCGGAGGAAGCTCCTGATTACTGGCTTCAGATCAACACACCTCCAGCCATTGCGGCCAATTTGGGAGTGAACCAGCAAATGGAAGACCCCCCCCCTCTCTCTCTCACCCCCACCCCCACTCCTTCTCTCTCTTTATAACTCTTTCAAAAAATAACTCTGTAATTAACACACAATTATTCTTAGGTGTTTAAATTTTAACTGAAAAGTGATCCCTGTTAGGAATTTGGAAAACATTATGCTGAGTGAAATAAGCTAATCCCAAAGGGACAAATACCACTTGTTCTCCTTGATAGGCGACAACTAACTGAGCACCAAAAAGGAAACCTCTTAAAGTGAAATGAACACTATGAGAAACGGTGACTTTATCAGCCCTCACCCTGACTGTTGATGAGCAGCTTAATATGTTATCCCTCTTAGTACTTTTTTTGTTTGTTCTACTTAATACTTGTGGTTGAATACTGTAATCAATACACAATTCTTCTTAAGTGCTGAAACTTAACTGAAAAGTGATCACTGTTAAATATAAGAGTGGGAATAAGAGAGGGAAGAGATGTGCAATTCGGGACATGCTCAAGCTGACTTACCTCAAACGGTAGAGTTAGAAACATACCAGGGGATTCCAATTCAATCCCATCAAGGTGGCATGTACCAATGCCATCTCACTAGTCCCAGTGATCAATTTCTGTTCACAATTGACCATAATGATAGGACTAAGAACCAAAGGGAGCACATAAACAAGACTAGTGTCTGCAAATACTAGCTAATAGAATAAAAAAGGGAGAGAATGATCCAACATGGGAAGTGAGATACACAGCAGACCCATAGAATGGCAGATGTCCTAAACAGCACTCTGGCCTCAGAATCAGCCCTTAAGGCATGTGGATCCGGCTGAAATGCCCATGAGACTATTTCAGGCATGGAAAGCCAAGACACTCTGGGGGGAAAAAAAAAAAACTAAATGAAAGCTCTCCGTGAGTGAGATCCCAGTGGAAAGAACAGGTCATCAAAGAAGGAGGTACCTTTCTCTGAAGGGAGGAGAGAACTTCCACTTTGACCATGGCCTTGTCTAAATATGATCAGAGTCAGTGAACTCAGGGGGCTTCCATAGCCTTGGCAGCTCATGACAAGAGCCTAGGGTGATTACTGATGCCGTAAACAAGAGTGTCAATTTGTTAAGTCAACAAAAGGAGTCACTGTGCACTTACTCCTCCTGTAGGATCTTTGTCCTTAGTGTGCTGTACATTGAGATTTATTGCTATAACTAGTACTCAAACGGTATTTTTCACTTTATGTTTCTGTGTGGGAGCAAACTGTTGAAATCTTTACTTAATGTATGCTAAACTGATCTTCTGTATATAAAGAGAATTGAAAATGAATCTTGATGTGAATGGAAGGGGAGAGGGAGTGGGAAAGGGGAGGGTTGCGGGTGGGAGGGACATTATGGGGGGGAAGCCTTTGTAATCCATAAGCTGTACTTTGGAAATTTATATTCATTAAATAAAAGTTTAAAATAAATAAATAAATAAATCTTAAAAAAATAATTTCAAAGAAACATAGAGAGACAGAGACATACAGATCCAGCCACGGATCCCTGTATAAATGCCCATAACAGCCAGGACAGGTTCAAGCCTAAGCTAGGATCCTGGAACTCAATCTGAGTCTCCCTTTTGGGCGGCAGGGACCCAATTACTTGAGCCATCACTGTTGCCTCCCAGGGTGTGCATTCTCAGGAATAAGGAAGCAGAAGCTGAGTCAGAACTCAAAGCCAGGAGCTCTGATATGGGATGCAGGTGTCTTACCTACTGCACCAAATGCTCACCCAGTTTCTAAAAATGTAGAACTCTTTGGTAAACCAGTATGAACCACATATAATACACTAGTACATTTTTCTTACCAGATCTTCTATTCCTGTTTTCCCCATGTCACAACAGCCATGCTATGTAATAACTATGTACTTGTCTGGTTTCTCCTGAAGAATTTCATAGGGTTGAGAACAGGATGGTTCTTCCCTGTGTCACAAGTCATTGCAGTGCCTGGAACGTTATAGAAGCTCAGTAAACATTTATGATGGATACAAGAAACAGTGTAAAATGGCCCTATTCCAGCCTGGAGCCTGGGAAAAATCCAATTAGAAGCATTTTGAGGGGCCAGGCTGTGGCGTAGTGGGGCAAGCCACCACCTGCAACGCCAGCATCCCATGTGAGCACCAGTTCAAGTCCTGGCTACTCTACTTCCAATCCAGCTCTCTGCTATGGCTAGGAAGAGCAGTAGAAAATGGCCCAAGTATTTGGACCCCTGAACCTACATGGGAGACCTAGAGGAAGCCACTGGCTCGTGGCTTCCGATCTGCACAGCTCTGGCCATTGCAGCCACCTAGGGAGTGAACCAATGGATGGAAGACCTCTCTTTCTTTCTCTCTCTCTCTACTTCTGCCTCTCTGTAACTCTGCCTTTCAAATAAATAAATAAATCTTTAAAAAAAAAAAAAAGAAAAAAGGGATGCTTTAAAAAAAAGCATTTTGAAGTCTTAGCTTCCTATTTTTACCCCACCACTAACTGAAGAAAGGCCTCTCTCCTGATGTTAACTCACATTAGACTGAACTCATGTAAATATTAGTTAAGTATTTTCTGTATACTTTTTACATTGGATGACTTCAGGGTCTCATGTTAAGATAGCAAGGACCCCTGCATAAAGTAAGCTGGTGGAGTTCACGTGTCTGTTGTTTTGGGCCTCGTCTTCCCTTGATAGGTCCTTACGGGAGCTGTCACAAGGGTCGCCCAGAACAACCCACTCCAGGATGGAAGTATTCATTACTCCAGCTGCTGAGTCAGGCATTGGTAGCTGAAGGTTCTTAGCTGAGTCTCTTTCCAGGAACTGTCCTGGCCTAAAGTGAACTCTCTGGCTCAAGATCACACCTTCTGTCCAGTGAGCACCTCTAAGAAGTGACTGCCCTCTTGCTTCCATCCATGACAACACTGCAGGGCCACCTCAGCTCCAGCACTCTGCAGGGTTCTGTGAGATTTCTGGTGCAACTGCCCTGCCCTTCTTCTTCTGCTTCTGCTTAGTTATGCTTCTTTAACACATCCTCCATCACATTATGCACATAAAACTCCATCCCAGGGTCTATTCCTTGAGGATCGAAACCCCATGCAGTCTTCAATATTGTGTAAGGCACACCTGCACACTAATTTTAACACAACCTCATGCCACAGTGTGCACATTGTGAGAAATATTGAAACTTAAAAGCAAAAGAATAACAGTAGCAAATAGAGCAAATAATCAATTGAAGTATTGACATTGATTTAGTAGGACCATTTCAACTCTAAAATTGCAATGTTTAAATGCATATTTACAAAAGTAAAATTACGTATTAGCTTAAGTAATATA